TTAACTTTTCGAAATTTAGCTTAAAGTTTAATAATAAGGGAAATAGAATATTTTATTAATATTATAATAATATTAAAGCTTTAATAATTTATAATAAGATATAATAGGTTATTTAAATCCTTTTTTTTTATAAATATAAAGGATACTTTATATAATATAATAAACTTATAAATATAATTAATTTTAAGTATTTTATTTAATTAAGGTTTAAATATATTTAATTTATAATTATTTATAATATAAAGGGGTTCTTATAATAAAGTTTTCCTATTTATAAAATTAATTATATAGTTTTATAATTAATAGTTAAGCAATTATTAAGCTATTACTTTAATTATAATAGGGAAGAACTTTTTAAATTTTTTAAATATTTATTTTATTATTATTTTAGCTATAGCTTAAAGTATAATTATTATAATCTTAGCGGTTTTTAAATTAAGGATAGCTTAATTGGTATAATTTTTATAGCAATATTTAAAGGTAAAAGTAATTTTCTTAACGTTTTTAAAAAAGTAAATAGATAAATATTCCTTTATTTATTATTAAAGTAAAATAATATTATAATTTTTATTAAAAATATTTAATTTAAAGTTAAGTTTTATATAATAGTTTTTTTAATATTAAAGGATAATTTATTTAATATAATATTAACCTACCTTTTATATATATATTATATTAAAAGTTAATATAAGTTTAAAATATATCCTTTTAATAAAGGGTAGCTTTTATTATTATACCTTTAAAAATAATATTATAAGTATAATATTCCCTATATTTAAAAATACTTTAATAGGGTATTTTTAATTATTATATAATAAGGTTATAAGGATAATAGGCTTATAACCTATTTTAAATTTTAAATTTATCCTTTTTTAAGCTAATTTAAATAGTTTATTTCCTATTTGTTTTATTATATTAATGTAGAAAACGTTACCTTTTTAAAGGCTTAGGTTTTTATACGGCGCTTTATAGGGCTTAATTAAAAATTTAAATTTAATTCCTTTATTTTTATATATTATAAAGGGTTAAATGTTTTAATTATAATAATATTAATTTTAGCTCTTTTTATAATTAATAATAGGTTAATAGGTTTATTATTAAGCTTCCTTTTAATAAAAAAGGTTTTTTTAAGGGTTAAAGGTAATTCCTTTTTATTAATATCCTTTTTAATATAGTAGGTAAAGGTATAATAATTGTTTTTTTTATATTATTAATAATTAATTTTATTTTATTTTTATTTATTAATAATAGCTTAATTAATTTTTTTTAATGCTATTATAATATTTAATTAATAATTATTCTTAAAATTAACCTTTAATTTATTAGGTTTTTTATTAATAGCTTTCCTTTTTTTATCCTTTTTTAAAGATTAGTTTTAACTTAAATTAAAGTAATTCTTTTTACTTTAATTTTAATAGTTTAATTTTAATTATTCCTTTATTAAATTAAGCATACCTTTTAAAAATAGCTTGGGGTATATTAATATATTTTTATAAGTAATATTAACTTTTTAAATAATATTTAAAAACTTATTATTATTCTTTAAAATATAGCTTTAATTATAATAAACTATTTTTATAAGTTTAAATAATAAACATTTAATAATAAAGGTTTAAAATATTAAACTAAACTATTTTATTAAGTTATTTTAATTAAGGATTTTAATAAAGAATTGGGCAATATTATTAAAATACTTTATTTTTATTAAGGCATTTATATTTTAATATATTATTAATAGGTTTTTAAATTAAGCTTTAAAAGTTATTTAATAAATTATTTAAATATTAATAATATTAATATAATATATTTACTTTTAATATAATTAATATTATTATAAAGCTTTATTTATTATAAATAAGTTAATTTAATTAATATAATATTTATTAAAGGGAAAACTTTTTATATATATTAATATATAATCCTTAACTTTAATTTATTATAAAAAAAACTTTAAAGTATTCTTTTTATTATAAATATAAAGTTTATTAAATTAAATAGGATTAAACATTATTATTATAAGGCTAATACTTTTAAATATTATAAAAAAGGTATATATTAATTAATTAATAAAAGGATTAAAGGGATTATTATTATTTAAATCTTTTTTAGGTCCTCCGTTAGGACCTTTTAATAGCTCTTAAAGTAATCCTTTAAATAAATTATAAAGGGGTTATCCCTTAAAGGGGTTATTATTATTATTAAAACTATTTAGGTTATCTTTTAAGTTTTCTTTAAGTAAAGGTATAACTTTAATTAAAATATTAAATAATATTTTAATTATTATATATTATATATAGGATATTTAAATAATAAATTAAGCCTTTATTATTTATAACGCTTTATTAATAATTTAGCATTTTAAAGCTATTTTTAAAGTAAAATACTTTATAATAAAATAATTAATAAAGCTAATTATTCTATACTTTTATAACTTATTAATAATAGAATTTATATTAAATTATTATTAATTTTATAATTATATATAAAATTTATTTAATATTATTTAAATATAAGTTTAAAGTTTTTTTAATTATTTTAGGTTTATATAAGGTTATTTTATTAAATATTTAACCTTATTATTTTTAATATAGGTTTAACTTTTTATATTTTTATAAATTATCTTTTACTTTATTAACTTTTTTTAAAAAGTTTATAAGAATTAATAATAATAATTTATTACTTTTTTAAACTTATTAATAATATTAATTTAAAAGTTTACATTTTATATACTATATATAATAATTCTTTATATATTTTAAAAGAAGGTAATATTTTTTTAAATAATATTATATTAAAAGCGCTTTATTTATTTTTTAATTATTTAAGCATTTATTTTATATAAACTAATTAAAATATTATATATATTATAAATAATTATATAAATATTTTAAAATATATTTTTTTATTTAAAAAATATTCCTATTTTATATTTATATAAAAATTAAATAGCTTAATAAGTTTTACCTATTTAATTATAAATATTTATAACCTATTAAGAAAAGTTTTAAATTATTATATTTATATATTTTATTTTTATATTTTTAATATTTTTATAAATAATAAAGTTATAAAAGGTAATTTTTATAATATTAAAAAAAGGTTTAAGTATTATAATTAAAGGTATTTATTATAAAATTAACCTATTAATAAATTTAAGGAAATCTTTTAAAAAAAGTAATCCTTTAAAAAAAGGGGATATAACCTAATTAAAATAAATAGGTTTAAATATAATAAATAATAATAATAAAAATTTAATTTATTTAAAAGTAAAAATTAATTTTTATTTAAAGTTAATAAATAATTTATTTAATACTTTTATATATTTTAATTCTATTTATAAATTATTAAAGGGTAAAATATCCCTTATTATAAGCTAATTAATTATAATAATATAAGGTAATAAAGATAAATAGTTTATTTATTATTTATCCTTAGGGTAGTTTTTATATAATTAAGTAGATTTTAATAATTTAGAATTAGATTTTTTAAAGTAATAGGAATTAAAATTAAAGCTTTAAAGTTAAAATATATTTATAATTTTAAAAAAGTTTAAAGCTTTTAATTAATATATTTATTAATTATTTCCTATCCTTTAAATAAGGGTATTAAAGGTATAACAAATAATATTATTAAATATAAAGGTATAAATTTTTAAATTTTTTTAATATATTAAAGGAAAAGTAAATATTTTATTAAAGTAATCCTATATTTATAAAAATTTAAGTTAAAAATAATATTATATAAAAAGTTATTAAAGCTTATTTATTATATAAAAGTTTAAATTATTATTAAAATATTTTAAAAAGGGATAATAAATTATTTATAATAAAAGCTTTTATAAAAAGCTTAAAACTTAATTATATTTATTAATAATCTATTAAAGGTTTTTAAAGCTTTAATCTTTCCCTTTTTCCTATCCTAGAATGGAAGATTCTTTAACTATTTATACTTATTTAAACCTTATACAATTTATAACCCCCTTCCTTCTATTAGGCATTTATGTATTAACTGTTGGTCCTCTTACAGCTAACAGATTATTCTCATCCAATCGCTTATAGCTTTACTTCCTGCTAGGGGTAGTATCGGTTATCTTCGGTTCTGAAGTCTTGGCCGTGTGACATGTGGGCAGGTGAACTTGTTGAACAGGCAAGGTAATTGGGGACAGCAGGACTCATGAAACATCCGCATAGAGAGGCGCAAGTGAGTAGTGGTGTGGTATGTTGAAGATGAGTGAGTGAGAACAGAAGGGATAAGACGTGCTAATGTTGCTTGATTGCGTGGGTAGGTGTATTCCACTACAACATCATCAGTCAGTGACTTGGGAGTAGCTACCTCGGTAGGTAATAACAAGGCGTGTCCCTTGGGACTTCCCTCACACGTTAGTTTGGAAAGCCTTGAGTTAGTGTTCTGTACCTACCTGGTTCCAATGATAATGATTATCAGTGGCTGATGCTGTGTGGCTTCCTCGAACTGCCCCTTGTATCTGTTATCATATGTGTTATGTGATTATAACATGCTGCAGTCATTCAAATACCTCCTCCCCGCGAAAGAGGGGTCAGCTTAGCAGTTTGGGAGATGCAGCAGCTGCTTAGTTTGAGTGAAGTACGCACATGATATGATGGTAACTTTGGTAGGTAGTTAAGTTGGTTTAGACCAGGAAGATGCACAGGAAGGTAGGATATGGGAAGTGTCAATAATACCTGCAGACCTTTCTGCAGAGTACCAGAATATGCACGCACCTCATCCGTACCTGCCTTGAACAGAGCCCCGAAGCAGCTATATCTATGATGTAGAGGCACTTGTACCCTATGGCAATGTCCTACAGACCTCGTTACGAAGCTATTGAGAAGAAGAGCCCTCAATATCTTTCCCGTTTCTCTACTTGGTATTAACCTAAGCTAGCGCACGTGGCTCCCAGTCATCTCTGCAATCGTTACCTCTCAAATGCTTCCTTAACATAGGACAACAACTCAAAATCCTTCTCAACCAGTAAGTATCTAATAAGGACAATTCTTAAGTGTTCCTAACATTTGCGTTTAAGTAGACGATATGGGTGAGAACTCCAAACGTCCAATTGCTTGTGGGCCTCTGCGCCGAATAACCTTACGAAACCAAACCATGTCGATTATATACGACCTCGACGAAAAACCGGAAAAGAATACGAGACTGTCTCCAAGAATAGCCTACCGACACCATCTTCAGCCTGATCTATTACGTGAGACCCCTCTCAACTGCTGCACACGGGACCGCGTTCATCGTAACACCTCCCAATATCCTTTCTTTCGTGCCGGGCCAGGTTACAGCTGGCCTTTCCAGCGATGTCATTAAGGCGCTACGTGAAGGCGCAAGATACGTTATTTTGCCTGCGCAAACTCGTTGCCAATGGTGTGTTGTGCTGTCACTGGCGCTCGCATCATTTTTTGTTGCAGCGTTGAACAAAACCACTTTGACATTTCCTCTATACGCGTGGGCAAGGAGCATATAAGTAATGGATGCTGACAAGGGTGACTGCGTGAGCACTATCATGTGGCGGATGTTCGTTCCGTCTCGCGGACCCGGGTCATCTACAATTGGTACCTATAACCTATAGAACAGCATCTCGTCAACATATCAGCAAAGCCAATCAAATCTTAGTAATTACTAGCTAAGCTCTTTACGGTATAACCAGAGAAGACTTCTCAAAAGCGCTAACCATCCCATCCCAGCCCTCAATAAAATATCTCTTACATGCCATCACACCGAATTAATTAACTACTTTATAGTTAAGATCCCTATCTTTAATTATACCATTATTTAAGAAATAGGTAAAAAAAGGGTAAACCCTAATATAAATAAAGTATATTTATACTTTTTTTAATTTATAATTTATTTTAATAGTAATATTATTATCCTTATTATTATTAAATAAATTAGTTTTAACGCTTTATTAACTTAATTTAAAACTTATTTAACTGCTTTATTTTTAATCCTACTTCTTTTTAAATAATAAATATTATATATAGCTTTATACCTTAACTATTATATATTAAAAGGCATTTTATATAAAACTATTCCTTATAAGGCAATTAATATATTTAATAATAATTTCCTAACTTTCCTCTTTAATTAACTGCTCTTTAAAAATATTAATAAAGTAATAAGCTATTAAAATATAAAGTATTAACTTTTTTTTTAATTTATTTAATATTTTTTAATAGGTTAATATTATTTTTTTAATCTTTTTATTTATAAATTAGTTTAAATTATTAATAAAATATTTATAATTTATTTATATAACCTTTAAAGATTATATATTATTAATACTTTTAATATATTTTTCTTATCCTTATAAATATTTATTATATAAAATATAATTTATAATATTAACTATTTAAATTAAGCTGTTTAAAGGAATAAATGTTAAAATAGTAAAAGCTATTAACTTCTTTACATTTATTTTTTAAAAGCTATATAAAAATTAAAAGGGGTTAATAGAATTATTTAATATATTATTATATTAATAAGCTTTATTAAAAAATATAAACGTTATTTCTATTAAATTTATTATTATATTTTTATTTTTATTAAAATTTTAATTATTTATATTATTATATATAATATAAAGCTTAATAATATTATATTAATTAATTAATATAAGTTAATTATTTAATATTAATCGATTATTAATAATTAATTATACCTTTTTATTAAGATTAAATTATTAAATAGCTTTTCCTACCGTTAGTTATATATAATCCAGGCTATAATATAGCTATTAATTTTTAATATAATTGTTATATTATATAAAAAGTTTAAAGAGTACTATTATTATATATATTATATTAAGGATTTTATAAAATTTAACTATTTAAAAATATATAATTATAAATAATATAATATAAATAATTAATAATAAAGGTATATATATTATAATTTTATAAGTATTTTTAAATTTAATATATATATATTTCATTAAGTATAATAATTTTAATTAATTAAAGTAATATTTATAATATTCCATTTATTTTTAAAATAAATATTATTAGCCTTCTATTATAACTTTATCTTTTTAAAAGTTAAACATTTCCTTATAATTAGCTTTAATTATAATAAATGTAATAAAGGTTAATAAAACTTTAATAGTTTTATTAAAACCTATTATATTTTTAAATAACCTTTTTAAATATTATATATAAGTTATTAAATTAACATTTATTATATTATATATAATTAATATATAGTAATCTTTATATTAAACTTAAGAAGCTTTAAACTTATAGTAAATATTAGGTATTAAAATATCTTATATACCCTTTTCCAATTATTCTTAATAATATAACGATTTATATATTAACCGTTAAATTTGGTATCTAAATTGTAACTATTATTATTATTGGAAATATTATCTATAGGCTTTTGCTTTTAGGTTAATATTTGGTTATAGTTATTATCGTTATCAGAGAGCTCGATTACCTCGATATCTTGCTTTGGGCGTTTCGAGTAATGCTGATTATAGTTCTCTTCGCCCTTCCGCTTTATAATATGTACGTCAGAAGTCCCCTGGCGACCGATGGTAGCTAGGCTATTTTGCGAATCTGTATCATTGTAAGCCGCCTTAAAGTCTATTAAATTAGCAGATGTGAGAGCGTTCTTCTTCTTCTTCTTTCTAACAGCGATGTCGGTAGAAGGCTCTGGCGGATGGCTCTCTTGTATGTCTAGGGCTAGGGTCGGGATAATGCCTAGCTCTTTACAAGTGGCTAACTCACTGGGTGCGGAAGATGCTATGGCAGGTGCGAGCGCTAGCCCGGATACAAAAGCCACGAAACCACCAACAGGTGTGGCAGGATATTGAGATTGAGGGACTGGTGTGTTGTTCTTTAGAGCAAAGGGATTGGATGAGTAGTGCTGGTACAACTGGCTTCGGCGCTGAAGCTCGTAGCAGGCATGCTTAAAGGTATTCTTATACTTCGGAATCTATATACCGAAACTCTTACATAGCTCTAACTCGTTGGTATAGGTAAGGATGGTATGCCCGTCGGCGCCTTACTTACGCAGACAAACCTCAAATCGTTCGGTAGGTAGGAGCTTTAACAATGGAATCCCAATTTAAGTTCAATTTAGGGAGCAGAGTTCTTGCACCACTTTATCGATATCCCAATTAAAAGGGTCATCATCCATCCTTAGGATGTTTACGGTAAGGCGCGTTCATTCGGTTTATAGTTAATAACGGATTAAGTGGATAACTATAAAGGGAGGCTAACTTTATATAATATTATTTAAAGATATAAAACTATAAGTAGTAAAAACTATAGTAAAAAGGAATATATATAATATAGGGCATTTAGGAATAATAAAAGCAAGAAATGCAGGAGTAATTAACCAGATAGAATAATAGATGGTAGTGAAATATCCTAGTTAGTACAGAGAGGGGAGGGTATGGAGAGAGTTGCCGATGTTTTGAGGCTGTGATCGAGAGCTATTATTTGTTGCGAGGAAAGTACGCCTCAAGGTGCGGGAGCAGCAGCTCGGGGCAAGCCTACAACCCGCCTTACTAGTTATCTGGCAACCGCCCTGTAAAGGATGAGCAGCTCGATGCGCCATAATGACTATGGTTTCTGTATACGTATATGATTTGTAAAAATACTCTGTTATAGTGATTGGAGGAGAAAACAGCTACGGATGAAATGTACTTCGTTAGATACATGCTTATTGCTATATTAGATGGAATAAATGATAACTATTTTCGTAATAATGGTTGATTTAAGTTTAATATATAATAGTAGTAAAGAAGATAATGTTAAAAGTATTAACTATTATAGTTTAATAGGGAGAAGTTAAGAGATAAAGGTTTTAGGAAGAGTAGTTTTTAATATACCCAAGGTAAGCTCAAGGTATTTAATAGAGGCTCGATATATGTAGGGTCTGCCCTGGATTAGTGTTATTATTAATGCTATTACTAGCGCAACTTAGGGGAGGGTGGAGTAAGTATAATGCCCCCTTTTCTTTTCTGCCGGTATAAAAGACATATACCCTTCACCTATATTATGAGAATACTACCGAGAGTAGAGGTACGTACCTTTTCTACCGGTAGAAACCATTGGGCTTATAAGCTTTAAGTGATTTTTAACTTTTTTTATTTCGTACTTAAGTATAAAAAAAACCCTTCTATATAAGCAAACATAAGAAACTTGGACTATTTAATCCTTAATCTTAGAGAGGGAGTAAGTCGTGTGAAAATCCTTGAGGGGTATACTTTATTATCTTGTTAAGTCATTTGCTTTCGGTTGGTTGCTAGAGGCAATTGCGCTAAAGGACCGTGCCCACGCCCACTAAGAAGCGGGACAGATGCACTAGTGTAATACATCTATATTGTGCACAAGCTACCTACTACCCTAGCACTCTTGCTTAAAATGAAACATTTATTCTATGATTGTCAGACGCCTAGAATCTATGCTCTTCGGTGACTTAAGCTCGCTGCTTTTACCATACCTAGAGCAGCTGTCGCAAACAGATTTCTTTGTGCCCAAGCCTAAGCTTGCTAATCGAACTATCTAAAACACGACCGCTTAGGTCGCATTGACACTCAGCCACGTCGCTACCCACTAGTTTGAACAGACTTGTAAGCCTCCTGGGATTACCTCAACCCCGCGCTTACGCCAACCTTAGGAGCTCGCTTTTCATACCAGCCCTCAGTATGAATTATTGATTAAACGAATAATGGTAAGAGTATTGATATATGCGTTTAGCTTGACGGACACCCTCGTCTTGATACGGCCGGCATTGAAGCTGGAAAGCCTATATTTACTACTAACCCAAGTGGATTAAACCGTGAGACTCCTACCTGACGTGAAACAGGCCTGGTCTGCTGCCTGTATTCTCTTTGTGAGATCAAGTCTTGCGCACGAAATGCCCGCATCCGAAGCCGTATAATTTCTTTTCTTTCCACCCAGAGTGGATTGGAATTGGGTCAACCTCCGGATCCCATCTCCCCGTAGGATCCCCGCCCTCTATTGGCTCATGGCGGAAGTCCTCGAGCAGCTGGCAGCTTTCAATCCTATCAGGTAGGGCTTCCAAAAGTTCAGGCCATCTTAAACCGTTAGGGCCTAGAACCACATGGGTGAACTCCAACCGCTTAAGACAAGGCTGGGCGCTGAGGAAACGAAGCAATGTTGATCCGTCGAATATCATACCTCGGAATTGTAAGAACTCTAGCCTAGGAAAGACCAGCGGCGAATCTTCACCTTGCATACCCAGGGTTTTTCTGAACAGGGCGTCTTCGCCGTCGCCTTGTATCTCCGGCCATTTCCCCCCTGCGCAGACCGATAGCCGTTCTAATGTTGGCAGCGCACATTGTAACAGCTTAGACATCACTCCCGATGACTGTGACTCTAAGGGGGGCATGGAAAACTGGTCTAACGATAGCTGTCGTAACCCTGTGAAAAGATGTCGCGTAGCGGGAGTGTTGTGGAATTGTGCCGGGCAGAACTCGATAACTTGTAGGTGTTGGATGTGTCGCCCGGCAGATTCTAAAGCTTGAGCTACGAACTCAGTCATGAGCGATGAGCAAAACCCGAGATGCCCTCGTTGGGAATCAATTTCGTAGGAGCTACAGACAATCTTAGTCATTACGTACACTCAAACATATAAGAGCAGTGGGGTTCTTACTTACTTGCAAGACCTCAATCCCGGCCATTTTGAGAACTCCCACGGTCTCACCTGAATCTTTTCCAAGCAGCTCATGCCTCTAAATAGCTTTACAAGTGCGGTGAGTATCTCGGCTTCATTCGCCGTTTGTTCTTCCATCTTGTTATTCCAATAAGCAATGGCTTCATTGATGGCTGCGGCTTCAAGGTCCGGCCGAAGCACCCGGCGGACCCTTTCACGCTCGAGTGCCAATTCATATACGTCCACAGACGATTTCGACGAGTCTGATTCATATCCCGGTTCTGCCCAGGCTCCTACTCTGTACTCATATTCGATCTGATCAATGTCGTAATCATCCAAGTCATCTTCGTCGAGCGGTTCATCCATCGCCGCTTCCAGCATCAAGCGATAGTCATCCCAGAAGCCTGTGACATGTGGTTGATAAGACAAGGAGCCATAAGCTAAGACTTGTTATAACCGGCGGGCTTACCATTGCGGTAGTAGGCAGGGTCAAAGACGAATGTCCTGGTGTATCTATGGAGTGCGAGGGACATGACTTCTTTGACGGCATCGGACAGGCGACCGAATTCGACCGTCTTCATCCGGCAAGCACGAGATCGGCCAAAGTTGGCAGGATATGGAAGGTATTCAGCGTGTGGCCCGAAGTTCCAAAAAGGCGGCTCATCTTGCGGGCGTCCCGAAAAGCGCAACACCTCGAAGAGGGCCCAGGACCCAGCAGCTGCCCAGTCACGGTTGGCAAAACGAAGGCATGCCAGATCGCTTGGGCGTAGGAGACTTGCAATTTGGACCTTCAGCTCTGGTGGCAGCGAGCCCAGTGATGCCATCTTCCTACTGTGAGCAGATTTTGTAATGAGAGTTGCAAGGCTTTGCAGTACGGCAGCAGTGTGGGATTGCTTCCGCTAATGCCTACTAGCTGCAGCTGCAATAAGCATCATCCAAGTGCCAGCATGACCCACTAGATGCAATTGATTTTAAGAACTAACTATATGCTTAAATTCAATAGTAAAGGAAAAACTAAAACTATTTATATGAGAAACATTTGGATTTATATAGTCTTTCCTTTCTTCGCTTTGTTTGTCTCGTCTAAACAACTGCAATAATATAGGTGCATACTGCTTACTCACCTTCGAGGACATCACGTGATTCTCTGGCTGCTTAAATAAATATCCTTTTATGCGTAGGGGCCCTTGGATCCCTTCCCGCTGCCTGCCCGACTAGTCCGCCATGTAGTTGGTCCGTAACACCTGTTTAATATCTCTTTCGCCTCCTTACTGCAGCCTTCGTTGGTTTATGTTTCTTCACCAGCTCCGGACTCATCTGCTTTTCTGAAGCCCACGTATCCTGCTCCACTGGACGGCCCACCCAGCGGATACGGTACTCGACTTTTCCATGCCGCTTCCGGGTGGCCAATACCTTGTCCACTCCGAGACTAATTCCCGTATAGTTCTCTTCAAAGCTCTGAACCAAGTCAGCATTGATGTCCTTCCGTTGAACCCACCAATAGCTTCCGTCTTCTAGCCATTTCAAGAGGAAAAGGTTCTTATTCCAGCGTTCGAGTATATAATCAACTGCATGATGTTTATTGATATTTATAGAGTTGGGTTGTTGGAAGTTAAAGCTTGGATCGGTTGTAAACGCGTAAACGTCTTCCAATAGGTGCGTTGGATCTTGGTTATTACGAAGAGCTGGGTTAATTAATTCCATCGGAATTAATACCACCGCCGCCTTTAACTTGGTATAAAAGATAGGAAGTAAGTTTGCTGGTGATTCCACTATTTTAGATTTATTATAGCTAAGTTAAAGGTTCTATTGGAAAATATTGCCGTTTAATTTATAAAAGGTTTTAGTTAGGGAAAAGTTTAACGATCTATTAATAATTATAGTTAATTTAAAATAGAAAAATAGGCTTTTAAGTACGTTTAATATAGTTAAAGAGTATTCTTACTATTTGTTTTTATTAATGTAATAAATATTATTAATTAATTTTAAGTTAAAGTATAGCAATATTCTTATAAAGTTATTTTTATTAAGGTTTAACTAATAGCTATAAGGAGATAAAAGGTTATAATCCTTTTATTTTAATATTAAATTATTGCCTTAGTTTAATTTATAGCTTATTTTATTAAAAGTTATATATTAATTAATCCCTATATAACTTTATTTATTATAAATTGTTATAAGATATATATATTAAGAAGTAAAGCTATTAATTTTATAGGGTTAAAAAACCCTTTACTGTTTATAAGCTAAATAAGCAAAAGGGATATTAAAATTAATTTAATAGTATCGATTTATATATTGCGTTAAGTTATTTAATATAGAATAAATATTATTATATAGGATATAAAAGAACGCTTTAGCTTTATAAATAGCTTTTAAATGCTATAATTATTCCTATATACCTTTTAAAGTTATTTATATAAATATTAATTAGCTATAATTAAAATAGTTTATAGGTTATTAAACATTGTTAAAATAGATATAACTATTTATATAGTTAAAGAGTTTAGCAATTATGCTTAATTTTATTAAGTATAAGGAGTATTAATATTTTAAAAATAAAGTTTTTAATATTTAATTAGGAATATTAACTTTATTATAAACCCTTTTTATATATATATTTTATATTTATTTTTTATTAATAATAGCTTTATTTAATTTAAAATGTTTATATTTTAAATATAAAAAGGGTTAAACAAAGTTTATATTTATAAAATGTTTTATATTATAATATTTAATTAATAAACTTTTATATAATAATAATATTTTATAAAGGAAGTATTATAACCTTTTTTTACCTTTTAAAAAAATTAATTTAACTATTATAAAAGGGTTAATATTAACCCCTTAAGTTAATATTATAAAGGTATTAAATAAATAATTAAAAAAAGCAATAATATATAATTATAAGTTAATTTTATAAAAAGTATTACCTTATTTAATATATATATTTAAAAATATTAAAATAGCTTTAATAAAGCTTATTTAATAAGTTATAATAAAATTAAAGCTTTAATAAAGTACTTTAATATTTAAGCTATAAATATAAAAATAATTAACTTTATTAAAATATTTAACTTTATTATCTTTTCACTTTAATTATATAAATATTTTAATTAAATTATTAATTTTTAAATAAAGTTAACTTTTTTCTTTTTTATTATTTATTTTTTATAAAAAATTATTTAAAGTAATTATATCCTATTAAAATTTAAAAGTATTTTCCTTTTTTAATAAAATATTAATAAAAGTATTTAAGTTTTTAATTATAAATATATTATAAAGTATTATAAAAAGTAATTAATTATTCCCTTTATCTTTAAAATTAAATATTAAATTTATAAAATTAATATATATATAATAGGATTAATAGTTTAATTTAAATATATTTATTATATAAAAAAGTATATAGTTTTAAAAAGTATTAAAAAGTATATTTAAAGGTTTAAGGTTAATTAATATTAATTATTAAACTTAAATTTAAATAATTATAAATATATTATTAAGTTAAATATTATACCTTATATAAAAATTGTAAAATTTAAAGTTCTACTATATACTTATAATAAAAAAGTTTATTAAAAAAGATTAATAAATTAATTATTATTAATTTTAAAGATCTTTTTATCTTTTATATTAAACTTTTATTTAAAAGGAATAAAATTAACCATTTTTAAATTTAACTTATTAAAAACTTCTTTAATTATATTATATTTTATTATAAAAGTTTAATTATTAATTATTTATATAATAATAAAATTAATAAAATAAAAGGTATAATTTAATATTAATATTATTAAAAAAGAAATTTTAATAAAAGTATTAATTAATTTAATTAATATATAATTAAATATAATAAATATTTATAAAAGGAATAAGGGTTATTATATTAATTATTATTTTATTTTTAAATTATTTAAATAGTTTTTTTAATTTTATTTCTTTTAATTTTAATAATAATAATAATAATTTTTATTTATAATTAATTATTTAAATTATATAAAGCTATAACCTATAATTATAAATATTTAATACCTTTTAATATATTATATTAAAAGCTTTTAATAATAATTAAAAGAAATTTATTATAAAATAAAATCCTTATTTATAATTTAATATAAATAACTTTACCTTTTATTTATAAAATAATTATAAAATTATATATATTTATATTAATTATTTTTACCTTTTTATATTTTAAATTTATTTAAAGATTAAATAAAGAGCTTAATTTATTATATATTTATTATAAAAAAAATTAAAAGGTTAAAAATTTATTTTATTAAAAAAGTAATATATATATAAATAAATATAAATTAACCTTTATAATATAAAATATTAAACTTTCTTTTTTACCTTTATTTTTATTAATTTACTTTAATTTTAATATAATTATTTTAAAGTTTTTATTCCTTTTATTTAATTTAAAAATATAATACTTTATTAAAATAATTAATTATTATTAAATTTTAATAATATTATATATTTAATTTAATATTTATTTATTTTTATACTTTTTTAAATTTAAAGTTATATATATTTATATAAAGTTATTTATATATTAATAAAAAAACCTTTAAAATAAAGTTTAAGCTTTAACTTTTTTAAAATATTATATAAAAGTAATTTAAATATTTTTATTTTTTAAATTAAATTTATTATAAAATTTAAAACTTAACTTATTAATTTATTTTAATAGTTAATACTTTTTAAAATAATAATAAAAAGAAAAGTTTTTTATTTAATTTAATTATTTTATATATAATTTTACTTTTTTAAAGTATTAAAAGTAATAAATAAAATATTATTATTAATTTAATTTATATATATATTAAAGTAATAATAAATAAATAGCTTTTTTAATATTTTAAATAATAATTTAAAGTAATTATCCTTAATATATATTATAAATATTATAAATAAATTTATATTAATAATATTTAAAAAGGGAAAAAAATAAATAAAAAAAGTTATATTTAAAAAATTAAAAAAAATTTATTAAAAAGTATAAAATAAAAAAAAGTATTTATAAATTAAATATATTTATAATAATAAATATATAATCCTTTATATAATAAAAGTATAAAGCGCCTTTCTTTATTAGCTAATTCCTTCTTTAATTAGGCGTTTTAAGCTACGGCGGGGCCGACACTAAGAGATAGGGGAAGGGGTAAGAGGCGGTTAAGAGGGGTGTACACCAAGTAGGGCAACATCACTCGGGGTCGAATTTCGCCGGTCGACTGCTCCGTCTTCTTTCAAAACGGTTCTTTGGGGTGGGACTGGGGCGCCGAGGCCAAAACGGAGCGCCGGGCGGCTAACGGCCAGGACCCACCCGTGTGGCGCCGGACCCGGGTTTTAGTCAGCAGACACGCTCGCACCGATGTTGGCCATATTGCTTCCAGGAAGAAATGTGGTATGGTCTAGGCTGGAAGCGCCCCTCGGCGGGTCTCAGCTGTAGCTGATGATGACATTATCACCTGCCAAGATCTACCAGAGACATGGCATGGATCACAGTCACAGGTGAGGGATGCTTGCATTGTTAGAACCGAAAAAAATCATTATACTCACTTAAATATAGTTTGTGTGATAACTTAGCCTGCGAAAAGTGGTGTATAATTATGTATATCGCAACTTACAAGCATGCTTATGCTGGTTACAAGAGGTATGCCATACAGTGCGATTGACTGTGTTTAGACGTTGTCATGACTATGGATTAAAGGGGAGGCCAAGGCTATGCAGACTGACAAGTTACGCAAAGCTCGAAGGTCGGACCCTTGTAACTTGAGAGCCAAACCAATTTTGTAACGCAATCAGGTTCGGTATTATTTAACCATGTAGTACGTCACAACTATTTAACTCAAGAAGCTGATCATGATTGATCATCAAATCGCCCGGCCGTCCCTAATGCGGCGTTTCATGGTAGGCTTCCTGGCTGATTGGACTCTTGCATTAGGAAGAGACTCACCGCTATGGCTTATCTACAACCATTTCCTTTCCCGTCCACAGCATACCACCAGGATAGACGTAGTCATCATCTAACTTGTCGAATCGGTACATACTAAGAGACGTATTCATCCCTGGCGTAGCAAATAATAATTAGCAACAACCCAACGAATAAGAGCTAGAGAGCTAAGCTTGAATAATAATCTGCTAACGACGACATACCAGGAGAGTCGTGCATCATATCCTCAGGGATTCGAATTCCCTTAGGGAGTGATCCTTCATAATCGCTCTCTACGCGGATCTGTAGACAGCTCGGATATAACTGCGACGGGAAAGAAGTGAAGTTGAACTCGTAAACACCAGTGTAAACCAAGTCAGCTCGCAGCAGATAATCTCCGTCCGGTGTTTCCTTCGGAACGCTGAAGGCGAACTGTGACACAAATGAGTCCGGGATGATAAATGTAGATATCCTTTCTGTAGCGTATGGTACTTACAGGCGCTGGGATGCCTTCATCATTCCAGGGTATCCAGTGAATTGGGTGCTGCTGATCATCTCGAAGCTCCAACCCCAACGTATAGATCTTCACCCACTCTCCTGAGCCGTCGTATGAATGAATGTCCTGTCCTTCGGGGACCTTGGAAAGATGAGCGATGAAGGGCCCTGGATGATTAAAGTGGATATATCCCTATTTTGCCACTGTAATTAATATCTGACACAACTGTTTTATGGACCTTCCCTGAGAGCCACATAGACAGTCTGAGTTATAAGAATAGACGAGAGTTGCGCTGTCCCATTATGAGGGTTGGTTTTCAGATAGCTTCCAGCGCTGTGCTCGTTCTCGTTCATCCTAACTTCGCTAACCTAGGGTAACATGTAATCGCTCACCTCTGGGTTCCACGAGGCATAATCACATGATCCACGTTCATCAGGGCAGTTATTCCACATCTCTGGCGGCCATTCCGGGTCTTTTCTTTGATGAGCAAACTCAAGCTGGTCTCCAGCTCGGATCGTTAGAACTTCGGTATCAGCTGCGTGTGCCATGTTATCCCGGCCGCAGCGGACCGAGTCAGGGTAGTCGGTAACCGCATATGTAGGGTCGATCCAGCGACGAACGTGATAGTTTGTGTCCGGGGAATCGCGTTCAGTAAATGGCGAAGTTTTATTTCTATTCACGTCAGGCCTAGGCAATAGGGTGATGACTATAGATAGAAGAAACGAACGCACCGGATATATCGAGTAGGCTCTAGCCATTCGCCATTCTGACGAACGCGTGCAAATGCAACTATGGTAATTTTGTTAGTAAGCGCACGTCACAGCTTATTGATGAGTAGGGAAAAGCATACAGTGAGCTTGAACTGAAGAAATAGCAGCTGCGAGAGTGACTAAGAGGTGAGAGATAGTCATGGTTCTTGCAGGCATAAAACGATTCCAGTAGACACAAGTTGCACGTTCACAGTAAGCTATTATTTCGCATGAATAGAAGCATTTTATTAAGACTATGTTGCCACTAGTAGAATGTGTCAACTGTGAGAGTGCCATGGCGGCAGCCGTGGCTCCTTCTGGAGTTACCAGATGGTGCGGTAAGGTACAGCCAAGTTATGCACATATCGTGTACGGCTATATTATATCTTTCCAATGGGAATTAAAGTCGTGGTGGTGTAGTAGCATGAGATGATACAGCGGCACAGATATCACTATATCTAGCATAGGAATACGGGCATTCTGAAAGTTTGATTGGCTAGTCGATTTTCGAAAATAACCGCTATGCCTGCAGACACACATCTTGGCTGGCTCTCGTTTTATCCGATACCAGTACACCCAGGCACTCGGCTGGTCTATTTACCGCTGAACTGAAGAAAATGGTTCATAATGAGTTAACACATACCTCCACACTCTTTCTCCGACAGCAATCTTGATAGACATATGCTAATACAGTTGCTTGTTAACAAATAGTTAATGTCCATCTATCAGTATAATGAATATACTTTCGTAGAAAAATATATCTAAGTGAACAGAATACTGGTATTCCAATAACGATGCGCATATGGGTGAATTCACTGAATCGATCTTAGGTTCATTTTAGAGTGTCTAGAAGTATGTTTTTGAGTTTGCTGGAACACTACTAGGAACCCATCACTGGAATTGTATTGGCTCAGTTACGAATCAACCGTCCACTCCGCCTTGGCGCGCGTTGGAGCAATTATTCTCGGAAATTTGGAGAATACGTGGAGTAGTTGACGTCCATCACACAGAGCTTCACAGCTCCGCAACTCTGAAGTGGGGGAGCAAGATCTCATGATATTAGATGTCATAGGGCTGAGAGTTATCTTAGGAATCTTACCTTGTAGGCCGAAATTAGTGATTCAAACTAATTGGCCAAAGAAACCTTTCGAGGTTATTATTAGATGAGAGTTTCCCGATGGGAGTGTGCGGACCATTTGGGTGCGCGAAGGTAGTAATGATTTGAATGGGACTGTATGGCCATCGCGATTCCCTTGCAATTGGCCGTCCCTGTGCTCCAATAACCAGCTAACGCCTACAAGAGATTATGCTGTAGACAGTAGCGGAAACACGAATGAACAGATGTGAAAGGTTTGTTCTTCTTCCCTACCCTCTCTTATTGAAACATGGAAGTGACCTGATTCCTGACGCTTTCGTAGTTCCACCCCAAGATATCCTCTGTTATAACTCTCCATTGACAGTTTCTGTAAGCTTCACTCCCAGAATTAAATATGCTGATGGTAGTATTATCATTATTTACCGTTCAAGGACATTGTCGCGGAGAAGTGGGTATGCCATATAAAGACCGTTAACGTCTCATGGGTTAACGGCGTCGTTTTTCTCCGTGACAGACATGCATTCCATGAACAAACGGGCGTGATTAGGATGAGCGCATGAAAAATCTAGCTGGATGCCTTAGTTTTTGAACTATATTAACATGGTTAGAGGTTAGGATTCACAGCTAAGATGATCTAATATCTCTATTACTTTATTTGCATGTATAATAACCAACCTATGGCAAGAGTCGTAACCCGATTTGTGTTGGTTGGTGTGTATAATCATACATAGTAGTAAATCAAGAAAGTTTCCTGATTCTTTTGTTTCTCCGACAATGATAATTCGCCTACTAATTAGTGCATCTAAATCTTAAGTCTTTGGATATTCTATTTATTTTGGATTTCATGTTAAGGGAAAGTGGAAATGCTGGAAACTTATATAATGGTGATATTAGAATCTAAAACTTCCTGGAACACGGGTTACAATTCTAAGTCCTTTCGTGCATCATGATTATCAGAGTTTAGGGTAACAACACCGTGTCTGATACGTATAATTAGAATGATAGATGTTAGAGCTGTGATTTCTTGTGTGCTACTTGCTCCTCAACAATGCACACATGGGAGGATATTTAGGCTATTCTAAGGGGTGTTATTTACTTTGTATGAGAACCTTGCATGATATCTAAACTAAATCATAGAAAATGAATGTACGTTATTACTTGGAATGTTGCTCCCCTCGAGTCTTGAGATGCAGGATAGTACCCATATAAAGCACATTTCCACTGGATTTATATTGCATTTACTTCCTAACTAATTACCTATCCCTATAAAACCCTCACAGGAACAGACTCAAGTTGAGAGCCGAGGGACGGCGTTTTTGAATACATTGTCCAGATCATATTTCTTCTTTAACTGTAACAGCTTTGCCTAATACGATCCATATATCTTCTCGTTGTCTGTGCCGGCTTCTCTGAGTTCTTGAAAGAGACCCCGTGCCCATTCTTCTCCCTTGAGCTCAAGATCTTTCACCCCAGTCATAGCAACGAGCTCAAGAATGAGATGGTCAACTCGGGCGCCAAACACGGATTTCTCGCTAGGCTTAGGTGCGCGGCGACTGTGAACTGATACGGCTATGCCACCACCAGGAATAAGACCAGTGTACTTAGCGAGAGCCTCAGCGGTCTTCGTTGTGTACTTGTTCAAGTTGAGCAAATAGCTTCATCCATAGGAGCCGTACACAATCAATGTCTCGTTGAACACGGCGAAAGACGCTACTGACTTGGGCTCAGGGTTGTTCATGATGCAGGTTCCGAGGGTCGCGATCTTATTAAACCATTTCTTGCCCTTCTCCTGGTCAGCATCAGCCCATGTAGCCCCAATAGCCAGGACCTTGCCTAGGCCTGGGAGCTCTATTCCGAAAGGCTGGAGCTAGAGGCCACAGGGGAGAGGTTCCTCCGCTACTAACCTTTCGTAACTCTCGGCGTAATTTGTCTAAGCCGTTTTCAAGTCACTAGACTCGAAGATTAAAAGAATGGTAAACAGCTACATGACAGTGAGTATGATATTCTCAGAGGATGCTTGATTCAAACTCATCAGGAATCGACCTATCTCCTCGAGTGGGTAGACCTTAACAGTCAACTCGACAAGCTATCGGTGCTATCCTTTTTTTGCCGCATCTTCCGCGTGCGCGTCTTCATCATTGTCAACAACATTGCCATCGGGCTGACGGCCGGCTAGGGCATCGCATACCTCTTCGCCCTCGCCTTTCAATGCCCTGACCCAGCGTTACTCTGGAACAAACTCGAGTCCGAATACGCTGCAGTGGGTTGTGTCAGTGTTCTCCCGCTATACCTATCCTTCGCGGTCAGCGACTTGATTCTAGATGTGATTATCTTTATCCTGCCTGTGCCGCACTTGTATAATCTTGTCATTCCAACGCGGTAGACAATTGGTGTCGCTTCTATCTTCTTCCTCGGTTCGCTGCTGGTCTTCCACGAATTCTTTATGCATTTCAAGGAATTGGGTGCTATTTAAAAGTTCTGAGATAATTCTATAACAGAGTCGTCGCAATTGGAATTGTGCGAACCATTATCTATGTCTGGGGTATGTATTCACCAGGACTGTCCTCTGCATCTCTCGTCCCCAGCATAATTGTTGGTTGCTGATGCGTACGCACCTGGCAAGCTCCATGGCATCGTGTTCTCGTCTCTCCTGCACCGACCAAATAGCGACCCGGATGACAGTCACAGCTACGAGGCACATGCCGTTCAACCGATACGGCGTGGCGGCAGCGAGCCAAGAGATGATTACGGGTATAATGGCGGTATACACACTTCGTTAAAAGAAGAATAAAATGTTGCTATTTAAAAATAGTTCTTTATTGTGATACCCCGAAGATATTCGTTTCATATTCTTTTTGAACAAATACTTGTCATTTCTCACTTCTACCGCGTTTTCTTTTTTTCCCTTTTTTTTCTTCGTGTTCAGCGCTGGAGTTCAATGTTGAGCGGAAAAGGTTCTGCCAAAGCTCTGGAGACGATGCGAGTGTGTTAACGAGGATCGACAACGACCTACAACGGAGGATGTACGAAGTGAGTTTGAGCGAATGATTGGGATTGGGAAATCCACATTGTATCTTACTATCTTCCGTCTGAAGAATGGTGTGTATCATCTAGGTATCCAGCAGATAGAGAATCTCAAAACGAGTTCACTCTCTACACCGATCGGATTGGTCTTACCTGGGATCTGAGACCGCGCCGCAAGATTCTTATACATGTCTGACATTTCGCATGTTCTAGCTTCATCCAGTCGATCCAAGCTGGCTCCACCGGTGCGTACTGATGGCCGCCTATCTAGCCTGGGATGCTCAGCACCTGAATACAACGTTAACCCGAACAACAGAAAGAGCAGCGGTGAGTCTCGGCGTCACTCTCGGCCGCGCTGCCGATGCTTGAACGATTCGAGCACCACTTTGTAAAGACCTTCCTGCCTTGTCTGAATTCATGCAAGCGCTAATACAATGACGTAAACGGCAGGTGGGTTGAGTTGGCGAAAGCTGTCTCAGAGCCACGATCAAGCATGTGCTGTTGTGCTTCTAGACCCCCCGGATCGCTAGGTTGAGTAGTATGCGGGGGAAGTGGTACGGCTCCACGTCAACCCCCCGGCATTCCTACCCGTGGCGAGCAACATCGCCAAACTTCTACCTTGCCTTCTCCACAGTCCAGCCAGCATTGATGTTGCACGAGGCATGAAAGGTATGGGACGAAGCACTCGGGTCACTTTCGAGAGATCAGATGAGATCCCGTGCTCACAGTATACAGCAAACGTCCCCATATACCACTTACCCCGCCGGACAAGAACATGCGAGGGCGCTCTGATGGTTCCCCTCGCTCGGGTGACCAATGAACCGAACTTCTGAGGAGGCTATATCATATAAATATGAAGCATAAATCGAGAGGTTGGTTGAGTCTCTTTCCATTATTGCCTTCGCTAGTTGGTCGGAGGATGAGTGAGTAAGCCTTAGCAAGACTAATCCGCCTCGAAAATGGCAGTATCCATTTCTCAGGTCTCGTTCGAGCATCATCGGGTTGCTCTAGGTATCGGTGAGGCTAGCCCGCGGATATCATGGCGGTTTGAAGGGGACGCGGGCAACTGGACTCAGAGCGGCTATAGTATAGAGGTATCTCGACAAGGAACCTCTGATGTCTTCAACTTCACCTCCTCAGACTCAGTCCTTGTTGACTGGCCCACGGTTGCGTTGACCTCTGCTGAGTCGGCCATTGTTCGGGTTAGATCATATGGTGGCGACAGCGGTATTGACACGGACTGGTCGGACCCAGTATCCGTCGAGACGGGTCTGCTGTCAGACGAGGACTGGGCTGGTGCCCAGATGATTGCCGCAGACAAACCCACAGAGCAAGGTTCTCCACACCAGCCTATTCTCTTCCGAAAAGACTTCTCCTTAGATGGCAACATCACGTCTGCGCGTTTATATATAACCGCCGAAGGAGTGTACGAAGCCTTCATAAATGGACAAAGGGTTGGCGATGCTGTCCTCGCTCCAGGCTGGCAATCCTACCAACACCGACTTGTTTATGATACATACGACGTCACGAATTTGCTGGAAGACAGTTCTAACACGATCGGTATCCATGTCGGCGAAGGTTGGTACTCAGGCCGCATTGGATTCGAGACGACACGGAACATCTGGGGCGACACCCTGGGCGCCTTTGCTCTGCTCGTAGTCACGGACGCAGACGGAAGCAGCGAGACGATCGCGACAGATCTGACCTGGTCATCTAGTACCGGGGCTATCACGACTTCAGAAATCTACGATGGAGAATATTACGATACGGCGAAAGAGCAGTCTGGCTGGGCGACCTCGAACTTCATGCCACCGGCGAATTCCTCTAACTGGATTGGCGTAAAAGCAATTGCATCCCCATTGAGCCGATTAGTTGCGCCAGATGGACCGCCAATCCGGCGCCTAGAAGAAGTCGAGCTACAAGAAATCATCACTACCCCCTCAGGGGCCACAGTCCTCGATTTTGGGCAGAATCTCGTCGGCTTGCTCCGGCTCAACGTGTCCGGGCCCGCCGGCACTAAGATCAAGATGGTTCACGTAGAAGGTAAGGAAAAGTCCCTTGTGTCCTCCATATAGCTTGATTAACTTACGCCTGCTCTAGTGCTTGAACATGGAGAGATAGCCACCGCTCCGCTACGAACCGCTAAGCAAACCGACACCCTCGTCTTGTCCGGCAACGGCACACAGACATGGGAACCGACGTTCACGTACCACGGCTTCAGATACGTGCAAGTGAACAATTGGCCGACAGAGCAGACACCCCTCAGCAGAGACTCGGTCAAGGCCATCGTCGTACACTCGGACATGCAGCGGACTGGGGAGTTTGAGACGTCGGATTCGCTGCTGAACAAGCTGGTAGCAAACATTCTGTGGAGTCGTAAGTTTGCCTTGTTTGTCCGTTCCGTGTGATTTGTCGGATGGCTCCCGCGCGTGATTATCTGACGTTACCTAACACCCGTGTACAGTGAAGGGGAACTTTATGAGTGTCCCAACAGACTGCCCGCAGCGTGACGAAAGGCTAGGCTGGACAGGCGATGCGCATGCCTTTTCTCCCACGGCCAACTTTCTGTACGACGCGGCGGGATTCTGGAAAGGCTGGCTGAAGGTTAGTCCATTCCCTACCTCTAAGAGCGAACGAAACATGACACGCCTTGCACGACGATTCGACATGGTTGTATTAACGCAGAACAGGACGTGGTATCAGAAACCCTCGAAAATAACGGTCAGTCCCTGATGATTCCCAAAAGCACCGAGAGCAGCGCACTAACTCTCTCTAGGCATTGTTCCCGTCGTGGTACCCAATGTCCCGGCCGTATCACCCGCCTTCCCAGCAGCCGTCTGGGGCGACGTAGTAGTAGCAAACGCGTGGAACATGTACCAATCCACGGGCGATCTCGCCGCGCTGCGAGAGCAATTCGTCGGCGTCCAGGCCTGGATCGACCACGGGATCCCGCGGGGCGCAAACGGGCTGTGGGACCACAGTTTCTTCCAGTACGGCGACTGGCTGGATCCCAAGGCGCCGAACGACAACCCGGGCGGCGCGACGACGGACTCGGGCCTAGTAGCCGATGCGTACCTCGTGTACGTCACGGATCTCGCGTCGAGAATAGCTGCTGTTCTCGGTCTGCAAGCCGAGACGGCACAGTACGCAGAGCAAACAGCTACGCTCAAGAAGGCGTACCAAGCAGCGTGGATCTCCTCCTCCGGCACCGTAGCCTACGAGACGCAAACAGGAATTGCGCTATCACTGTACTTCGACCTGTTCCCCCCGGGAACAGGCCAGGACGTCGCCGCCGCAGCGCGTCTGCAGAAGCTCATCGCGGACAACGACTACCTCGTCGGCACAGGCTTCGCAGGGACGCATCTCCTCGGTCTCGCACTGACACAATACGGCCTGACGGCCGAGTTCTACAAGATGCTGCTGCAGACGACGGTGCCGTCGTGGCTGTACCAGGTCGTCGAGGGCGGGACGACGACGTGGGAGCGGTGGGACAGTCTTCTACCCGACGGCACCGTGAATCCGAACATGATGACCTCCTTCAACCACTACGCTTTCGGATCCGTTGCGAACTGGATGTTTCGCACGATTGGCGGTCTGGCGCCTGCTGAGCCCGGGTGGAAGACGGTGCGCGTGGAGCCTGTGCCGGGGGGGAACTTGACGTATGCGAAGACGTCGTATCTGAGTCCTTATGGGAGGGTGTCGACGGAGTGGACGGTGGATGACGGGGGCTTTCACCTAACGCTCGTTGTCCCGCCGAATGCGAAGGCGGAGGTCGTGCTCCCTGGTGATACGCAGAATGTTGTCGTTGTGGGAAGTGGGACGCACTCTTTCAAGGTCTTGGGGTCGTAGGAGAGCTAAGATGGGCTTTCGAGACCGTTGTATTCTTGTATCTATTTTCTCTTCTTCATTTAGTCTATCGCGTTCGCGCTGTAACTATTTTTTCGGTATTGGCTTTCATGCTTTGTCTGACCTTCGGGCCCAGAACGGATCTCTGTGCCTGCTCTGTGACTAACTAGGGACTTTACACTGATGCGCCATATAGTTCGCCCAGAATTGCGACTGAAGTATAGTATCCGAAACGAGGGGTAGGATAGCGCTTTATATCGTTACACCACTATAAGATGGCCCTTCAATACGACCACGAACAGGTAAGCGGCCTTCTTTTCACGTCATTGAGCCACGATCTCAGTCCAGCGAACAACACGAGGAGTGGCAGTTGAGATTGGGCATGAAGGCGGTAAATCCGAGTAAAATCAAAGATGATTCTCCCAACAGCATGATCCATCATATTTCCTTCATTACTTCAGCCACAGCCTTCGCCGCGGCTCGCTTCCGCTGGTCCTCAGGCAAGCCCGCATTCGAATCCCTCACAGCCTGCAATTTCGCCATCAAGCGTTCCATCTTCTGAACATCCTCATCATCGATCGGGTCCTCCGCGTCGTCCGGCGCTTTCTTCTCGCCATCTATGCTCGACTCGCCATCCTCCTTCCCCGAGCTCCATATCGCGCGCCTCAGACCTTCAAAATCCTCACGATCGAAGCCGAAATCCAAACTCTCGGGATCTAAATCAGGAGCATTAGGATCCTCGCTAGCCTCTTGGCGATTCTTGTGCGCTTCGATTTCGGCGTCTATGTCGTCGAAATCGGAGCCGAGATCATCGGCTGATGCGTTTGCCCAGTCGTTTGCTTCCAATGCCTCCAAGGCTCGTGGTATCCCGGTTTTTTCTAAACAGCACCTTATGAATCACTATCCCTCGATAATATCAAAAAGAAAGGGAGGGGGAGTTACGTACCTCCATATTCATTCCTGGTGGGCGTCGTCTGGCTCCTGACCTGCACGAACTCTAGTCCTGACTCGGCGCAGCAGTCGTCCCAGACATCGACGTCGTCGATCTCGCCGACGCCGAGACAGAGGCCCACGCCATCCCATTCCCAGCCACCCAGGCCCTCCTTCACGACTTTCCCAACTTGTTTGATCAAATCTTGGGAGGCCTTTCCTTCGTCGGAGGTAGCGTGAACCGGCAGCGCGAAGACTACCATGACACCGCCGAGTACTTCCAGGACTTCCTTCGCTTCAGCAGAGAGGAATGAAGCGGACCATTCTGATGGCGATGCTATTAAATCCAGCCATATAGGCACTTCTGCTGTGTAGTATGTGGTTTTGAGTGAGAGGTTATGTGATGCCCCGGCCAGGGACGTTGATGTCTGTTCCGGTGTTGTGCCAGTGAGGTCTACAGACTACGTTAGCTATGGTCGTCTACTTGCTAGTCTTATTCACAGAGATGGGGATGGTACCTTTTAAAACACGGGAAAGGTGTTGTGCTGAATCAGCTGATGACACGGCTAATATGCGACGAGGATTCGTGACCTCCATCTTGGCAATATCTGAGTCCATAGCACTTCACACTCACTTCGGGATTGACGATGGAGGGCCCTCGTTTGACTGTGACAGGAGGTTCAAGTTGATGCCCCTCTATTATACCTTATACTATCATAATACTCTTATTATCATATTATATGCAATTTAACGAAAGCATTCATTGCCGCATTTCGCATAACTTTCCCTAACCGGGGCACACCCTTTCTTGCTGGTGTTGGGCGCATCTGATCAAGATGAAGATGATTTTGGCTTTGGAGACTTCAAAACTACTGCTGCCATGTCTGTAACGACACCTGCAATAATGTAGACAGCAATCCCTGTGATGAGTACCAAGGTGCCTAAAGGCATCTAGCCATGTGTATCATCGAAGAAGAATAGACCGTACGAAAAGTGCTCCGTGATAACCCAAGTGGATGGATGTTATGCGATGAAACTCTACCGTCACTACGACCTTGACTCACCAATCATCAATGCAAGATATATATAACTCCAAGATATCCTCTCATGAAGTAACAATATCACCCGTCCACTCCCTCCCTCACACCCCCATCACCATCCCATCACCATCAACCCCTATCCAAATGTCGCACCCACAACCCTCCCAACCCGTGCACCTAACCCCCAGCACATCCCTCATTCCCTCCGGCCCTCAAACCCCAGGAATATCCCGCTCGTCCGCAATCGTAGACAAAACCGCCAACATCTGCGCAACCCACATGCTCGCATCACCACACACGTCCTCAGCAGTCCACCACCACGGGGCCCAAGACACGATCGTGTACGCGGTGCGCGGCAAGGGCGCGATCGTCTCCGAGGGCGGGAAGACGCGGGTCGATCTCGCGCCCGGCGATTACGCGCTTATACCCGCGTGGACGGAACACCAGGAGGTCAACGATGGCGAGGAGGAGGTAGCTTGGTGTATTGTGCGGAGCGGGCGGGTTCCTGAGGTGGTGAATTTGAGGGGATGGGGGGGCGAGGTTGTGAAGGAGGAGACGAATAGGTAAATAAAAAAAATAAATACCTAGATAGGTATTGTATACTTGCTTGATCGGTCGGAGGTTGGGAATGATGAAGATGGCTATGAAAATGGCGTAGATAGATAGATTCATGGTTGATCTCGTTCCTAGTACCATAACATCTGCTCTTCCAATCGCCGCTGTCTATTCATCGCTATATTGTACCGTATGTATATGTATATATATATGTGTATATACGCCATCGCCGCCACTGTATGCAAACAGATCATATCGCCAAGTGCTCCATATGCGCCCATGATGCCAAATAATATCCATCCATCCCCTCTTCCCCCTAACCTCTCCCCCCATTATAATCCGCACCCCCGGCCCTCCTCAACCTCGGCACAACATCCTTCTCGTCCAGATCTCCTCTATCCGTAGCATCGACCTGTATGCTATGATGGCTCAGGACCTTCTTGACCTCCGCCGTCTCGAACCCCACCCTCGCCTTCCGCATCACTTTCGTGCTCGCCCCGATCCACACCACGAGGATGAACTTCACCCGCTTGCTCTCGGTGTCGTTCGCGTATTCCACGCGCGCGTACCCCCATTGCGCCTGGCCGTCGTCCAGATGCGCCGCGAGCTCCGAGAGTCCCCCTTTGCCCGTCCCCGAGAGCTTCAGGTCGCGGCCCGTGGGCGCCGCGTACGAGATCAGCAGCCAGTTCGTCTCGTCCTTGTCGGAGCGCACGGCGTCGTAGGCGTCTTTGATTTCTTGGGAGTCGAGGCCGGACATTTTTTGTTTTCCTTGTATCTGCGATTTTTCCTTTTTCTATTGCTTTATATAGTTGTTTTCCTTCTTTCGTTCTCCTCGTGCAACTTGATCGAGTCGAGCGTTGATCTTCTGGCTTTGGTGGGGGGAGGGAACTAGAGGGGTAGACTCGGTCAGGAGGGGTCGCGTGCTCGGTGGATTGTCTGGTTCAATTGAACGAGGAAATGTCAATGGAGCGCCAATTAACAAGATAAGTTTGTTAAGAGTCGATATTTCACGTTTAAGCTATTAGTATCATAGCAATAGACTTCCAATTTGGTTTGGAACGGAGAGCGTTCCTTGTAATATGTGTCTTGTTTCGTCTTGCATGAATAGCTCAAGTGCCGGCGGCCGTCAGTCAACCGTCAGACACTCGCCGCTTTCGACTTGGGCCCCTGTGGCTCAGATGTTTCAAAACTACGGCCTCATTTGCTTCGCCCAACAGGCTTGTTGATCAAATGTGAGGTGAATCTTGATTAATAGAATCAAAGATTGAAATGAATACTTATGTTTCGACTCGTTCTTTTAGTTTTCTAGATGCTAGTACGCTGGCGCGGAAACGCATCTATGAATACAAATAGATACCAGACTATCTAAGCACACTATCATTTGAACTGATGCTTTTTCCTGGCCGCCAGATGCTATTCAACAAAACCGCAATTCCAATCACACCAGTCCGGACTCCAACCTGTATCAATCATACCGAAATGGCCCCTCCTTCCGAACCGATGGCATGATGCAATCTCCGTCATCAAAAAAGTCTAGCTATAGCCTGCTAGATGATAAGTCATCCGTTCACACGTGAAATTCGTCAAGGAGACAACAACAAGAACAAGCCAGTGAGATATCTCAAGATGAGTGGCAAGGTTACCAAGAAACAGGTCAGACGTATTACTGGCAAACCTCACGGTCGTCGTAGTGGATTAACGTGCTGGTTTATTTTTGTCATGTCTCATTTACATGCTAGTAGGCTCCAGGATGTCACCTGCCGTAATAGTAGCCCAACCAATAAGACGCCAATGCTTTTCAATACGCCGACTGAGAGCGATTTTCTCTGTTCGTGATGGATCGGGTTAGCATTCGCATTATAATTTAATATTGTGGTTTGCATAAGATAGAAAGAGGTGATGCCTAAAATAATTGCAGCGCTTACCTCCGATATTTGTACAAGCGGGACTTGTGAGAACCAGCTTAGCAGCATCTCTCTTGATGGCTGCGACCTTGGCACCAGTTGATGTCGATCCAATGTTAACCATGAGAATCTCATTCTTGGCAAGTTTCTCGACCTTGCGCTGTTTGCCATCGGCGACACCGAGAAGACGTCGGAGCAGGTAGAAGTTGACCTCGATCTGGCCGTAAATATCCGGGGATCTTCCACGGAGACCAAGGACGAAACCAACAAGACGATCCGCTCGGCAGAGTGTCGGGTCAATTCGTGTACCAACACCAATCAAACCACCAGGAACAGCGTATTTGAGGTCATTGGCCTCGGAGTTGAGGGAAACGATGCGGCTGAAGATCGGGGTACACCTCAGGTTGCCCTTGTCGTCACGCGTAACGATACCCGGTCGAATTTCAATCTCGTCACCCATCTTAAGCATACCATGAAGGATACTACCACCGGCAACACCTCCCTTAAGCTCATCAATGTCGGCACCTGGCTTGTTGACATCGAAGGATCGAATGACCATCATGTAAGGGTCCATGGAGAAATCTCGCACGGGTACGGGGATATTAACAATCGCGTCATTGACAGAGTCAATGTTCATCTTCAGTTGAGCAGAGATGGGTATAATAGGTGACTTGCTGGCGACCGTGCCACGGATGAATTGCTGGATAGACTCTGATTACGGTTAATACATCTAATCTCTTGAATAGTAATAAGGCAAATAAATTCCTCTTATTGAGACAAACGTTCGACATACCATAATGTTTCATAGCGGTTTCGTTCTTTATTAGATCAACTTTGTTTTGAAGAATAATGATGTTCTCTGTCGAGCAGTCAGTTACATCTGGCCACCTGAAGATCATGCCACAGAGAAAATCTCGAGCGCCGACCCGGATTCAAGACGGTAGGGATGTTCGGAGGCGGACATACCCAATTTCATGATCTCTACAGCTGCCAAATGTTCGGACTAATTCTATCAGCTACATTATCCCCAAACTTAGAATGTGAGAACATACAGTTTGGGGTTGAGGGCAGCTTTCGTTACCAGCAACCAGCTATCATCTATTAGCTTCTTGTATAAAAGGAGAGTGCAATGTGGAGGAGACTAACAAGCAAGGCGGCATCCATGACGGCGGCACCTGACAACTACAGAGTATTAGCTTGGGAGGCGGAGCGAGGTGATCAGTCAAATATACCATAGTGCTCATGAGAATATCGTGACCTAGAATTTCAGTCAGTCTCTATCTCACCACGGCTATATCAGGTGATTGCATACCAGGGCAGTCAACGAAACTGACGTGCCGTAAGAGCTGGTAGGTTCCGCCACATCCTTCACGTTCACAAGGGGGGTCGACTCTTTGGTCGCTCTTATAAGATCGGAAGCAGGTCGGCCGTGGGCATGCCTCGTTGGAACACCTATATATCTTGGCATTTGCATAACCCAGCTTGATGGTAATGTTACGGATCAGCTCTGTCGCAAGAAGGTTAGCATCAGTGTCGGCACGCAAATAAAAGTACTGCGACGCATAGAAGGAGAATAGAAGGAGAATAGATGGGCATAGCATCTAGAGACAAGGGATGCGGTAGGAATACGGACCGTTCTTGAAACGGACAGTCTGGACGCCTGAAATGGCCTTGACGACGGTGGATTTTCCGTGAGCGACATGGCCGATGGTGCCTATGTTGATGGTGGCCTGGCGGGCAATGATTTCGGGGGTGGTGGGCGACAGAGTCGAGATGTCGAGATCCTTAGGATCTGTCTGAGGCGGTAGAGGCGGTCGCTCGACGGCTTGAGGGGCGGCAGCTATGGGATTCTTGAGGATGGACTGGGGTTGCTGCTCAGTCTCGGACTCTGAGCCGCTTTCCGAGCCGGAGTCGAGCTCAGGGTGCTCGGGGTTTTCGGGCTTGTCGACCGTCATGGTCGCGGGTTTCTCTTCTCTGGCTGTTCTGTGTCTCTGTTGTTGCGTGGGCCAGCGGTGTTCGCGATTCTTCCAAGCTGTTGTTATCGTTGTGTTGTGTTGTGTTGTTGAGCAGTGTGGCGTAACTAGAGAAAGTGACTAGGTAGAGAGAGAGAAATTGCCAGTCAGAAGTTGTGATGTATTTCTGGCGGGAAACTTAACCCCACCACCCCTCCGCTGTTCAGTTACCTATCGAGCGACCTATCTTCTGCCGCTCAGGCTCTGCGCACGGGCCATAGCCCCCTAACAACTGCACCACAAAATTTCCTGGGTGACTCATTTTTAAGGTTGGTACATCGCTGTACTACCCCACTCAATAACTTTATCGATAAGCAAGCGAGCTGTCGACTTGGAGGTACTTGCGCAGGCGTCCACCTAGATCAGTCCCTTTCTCTTGTTACCAAATGCTTCAACAGATGCAATGCTTCAGTTCTACACCAGAAATAGAATTGAGAAGCCATTGCACACTGATCGAATCTATTCGGTTTAATGCGGGTATACTTATAGTTAAACAAGTGATCTACTATGTAGCTCATAGTAGTGCGCGATAATATTGCTCACCTCTTATCCAATAGTATGCTTCGCCGCTACAAGGAAAACCCCCTATCTAAATTGACAAGTCAGGGGAACGTCCAGTCGAAAGGCAACACCCATGCCGCATTTGAGTGACACGGGAATGCCGCTGCTCGTTCCATTCCGCTACATGTGCATTTCAACCTTTTCTGCCTATGTTTAAGCTGTTTAAGTTTGTGGCCAGGTAATCTTACATTTTCTGGGAGTACCTAAACATGTAGCTGCGACAGGGGGGAGTATGCGAGACCATCCCCCAGGTTCTCACCAATTGAAGACCATGTTAAAGGCCGTCTGCTAAATAGAACTTGATATGGATTTTCTTGGAGTAGTTGCTGTGTGCGTCCTACGGACAGCGCAGCTTTTTACGTTAGGCTTATACTTACTGCAGAGTGGTCATATAGTAAGTAGGAGGATAGATTTGGAATGAAGTTAACCAGACATAGTGTAGAATACCGTAATCGTCCCAGCTGACTAACACGAGCATCTTGATAGTCTTCGTTTTCAAGATGGTCTCGATCTCGAGACGAAACTGTTCGAATATTGGAGACCATGTTGGCTTTGGAGATGGTCTCAGAAGTCCGTGTCAATCACGGTGGCCATCTCCCCTAACCCCCCTGTTCCCTAGTGTGTAGGTCTGCGCCCAGGGGCCTGGGCGAGCTGGGTACCTATGGCTGATGGGGGACGAGAGGTCGCGACGAATTCTGTCCGGTCACGACCTGTCGTCCGCCGTAATGGCCTTCAAAGTTTAGAATCCATCCGAGGCATCGCCGTTGGTGTAGATGCTCGTGCATTCGAGGTCTAGTTCCCGCCAAATCGTCATTAAGAATGCCTAATTCAGAGTGGAATGCCTGTTGATAAATGCGTCTGGAGGTTCCTTGACTGGCTACATTTTCGTATGAGACATCGCCGAGTAGGTTAGTATATGGGTTATTCAAGTCGTCGCCACCTCGTGTGCCGACTTGCTCTAGGCGAATGCTGAAGTTTTTTTTAATTACGTCTCAGCTACAGTATTGCATATTTCTCGATGCAATACTTGGTGATTGTACACCTGTTTGCGAGTTTGAGTTGAAGACCTTCGAAAATTAATACCAAGTACAGCAAGGACAAAAAAAACACCGTGGTTTTGGCTAGTAGGTGGATAACTGTGAACTCGAACTCTGAAATCATCCCAACACTTTCGGCGACCTACGCTCATGTTTGCGTATTTCTATCGGGCTCGGTTGTTGAGCTTAATACAGGTCGAATCCGGCCACCCCCCGGTTTCATCTCCCTTGCCCCGAAGAAGCTGAGAGCATGAATATAGCTATATGGGAAAGGGAGACAAGTGACGCAATCATGTCCGTCCCCGAGGACGCATTTAGTGGCGCCGGGTAAAGGCCTCGAGGAAGACCTTGAGTGTCTCAATTTCTACGCAAGGGATCTAGCATATAACATACCTTTCAGCTCACAGAAGCTGAGAATTCGACCTGTGTTACACTGGAATGATACTTCACACAAACATCGTTCCCCTCTGTTTCTCTCTGAACACATATCGTGTACGCAATGCGGTCTACAGAGCCGCCCTCACATCTGTAAGTTTAAAACAAACGAGCTCAATACATGACGACTGGTTCTCATTGCTCGATGAGAACCATTGACAGCCGTTGTTGTTTGTTGGCCGCGGCCTGATGACTGCATTGTTTTAACTCTCGAGTGAAAGTAGCCGCTGGCAATTTTAGCCGCAGAACAAATGACAATAGGATGGGTAAAGGGAAGACTTATTCTAGAGGAGAAGCAGACGAATAACATCTGTGTCTAGAACAGCTCGTGGCGTGCGGTTGGCTTTTTTAGACTAAAATAAACGCCATCTAAGTATATCTCTTAAACAAGGATAGACGCTGTCAACACTCCACACTCGTCCCAATCGTTAGGTCACTATACCGTGGTGCCATGCTAGTTTAACCATGCTGTGCATATAGCTAAATTCACTGAAGAAAATCGAACAGAGCTTGATATCGTCGACTTCACACTAAGGACGTTTGCGTTGGTGGTGGAAGACGAGCAAACCAACTGAGACTTTTGAAGGCATCATCTGACAGATTTATGACTGTCCTCCACCGCTACTTTGATAATTCAATCATGTGATAACCAGAATAGAAACAAAATCAGAAGCTAACAATCAACAAGTCATCTCATGAGAGGTGCAACGTAGCCTCCCTTATTACCCACCAATCAAAAGACCACTCGATTCTCGAGGCTGAATCGGGCAGGGAGTCATAGATCGGACACATCGTCCATAGCCTCAACATACAATCAAAGATGCGAGACAACGTCTGCAGCTTTGGCTCTGTGACCCCTCCTTTTCTAAGGGAGGTTATTGCAATGTTTTCCTCGCAAACCTTACAGCAAGGCAACAGGATGGGACTTATGGCATACGAACCGTGTTGCCATCGTGTATAAAGAGAGCCTATTCCTCTCCCATTTGCACAGACAGCACTCGAGCACAACATCCACCTCTTTCTTCCACATCAGAACCTCGCGGACCATCCACAAGCCAACGAACCTTACAACCCATCGCTTTTATATCGTATCAACAATCATGGAGGGACAGTGCACCTTTCCGGCGGAGTGGTCAATGCCGCCGCCTCCCCTTCCGAAGCAGCCTGCCGTTACGGGGCAGGAGCCAGTGCAGCAACAAGAGGAAGAGGGCGGCTCGTACATTTCGGCCCAAAAGACCTTCCTTATGGACGGCCCTGAGGTTATGGATGTGAGCATCCTCAAGGTCACCCTCGAACGTATGTGGGGTCCCGAAGGCCACGGCTACTTCATCGGATTCTCGAAGAAGGAGCAGTCTTATTTCATCCTCGCCCTCCCATCGTTCGATGTCAACATTGTAAGAGCACTAAACACATCTCTTCAACTTAGAATTTTAGCCACTAACAATATGTAATAGAAAAAGATCAGGGAGAAGGTTGAAGATATGCAGAAATGCATAGCCGAAATGTCGGAGTCGAAAGATTGGAGCTCGATGGCCGTTCCAGCGGCTAAGCAGTAGTGTGGAATGCACGACTCTCTTGAATTTGGTTCTCGTCTCTATCATTACAACACCATAAAACATATAAAAAAAAAGAGAGAGAGAGAATGATTTTGGCAATTTGACTTCAGGCGTTATGAGATGGTGGGACGAGTTGACATCGGGGCACACGCAATAGAACACAGTATCAGTCCATGGCATTTGTCTTCTAGCTACTGGCAATATTGAACAGATTTGTTTGAGGAAATTGGTTTAGTCTAGAAAATCCGAGTTTCATACCCCAAGTTTTGCTAGATTATGCTCTTACATCTCTCCCCACCAGCAAGGTAAACATTTCCAACAAGCAATGAACACTAAGACCTATATCCTACTACACGTGTGATGGAATGAAAACTCTGCAAGATTTATATACTGGGAAATGAGCAAAGACCGAATGTCAGAAATAGGCACCGGTGATTACAGGGAGAGGTGAGCAAACCCGGGAACCCTGTGATGTAGTGCCAGGGGGCTCTTCGATTGGCTAGGCTTTGACAAAACCCTAGCACTACGCGAAACATACCTTGGACACGGGTGTGTTAGAGCCTCCTCGATGGAGCAAAACAATTATACATTTATGAGGCCTGGTCGAATGTGCATCGAAACCGCTGAGTGTTGGTGGAGCCTTGAAATTACAGGATTTAACTATTACTGAAGCGACATTGCCTACTATTTCCAGCAGAAGATGGCACTGCGCATCGTTGTCTTTGTATGATTACTCCTAGGCTGCAAGGTAATGATGTCGATATGCCATTACAAACAGTTCATATCGACATTCATCCATCTATCCCGTTCAGCGCTAACCTTGAATCCTTGACTTTAAGGGTCTGTAAATCCATCCTCGATCGTGGAACGTTGTTGCTCCGGCCGCAACTAATTGATCAGTTTCAAAATCAGGTCTGTTGGGTAACAATACACCATCTGTCACTATGAGGTATCTTAATACATATCTAGGTAGTCATAGTATATTATCGTATCTTAGCTGCCAGTGGTTTATATCCCACTTTAAAGAGTCGCTAACTATTCAAATAGTATCTCTGATAATCACTTTACTCCTGCAACCACTTGGCCTCCCCATCGCCCCAGACTTTCTGTCACCCTCAGTCCACGTCTATATCGGCAGTTTTCGCCATAAGCCATCTATATCGGCCACACTGCTGTAAACCTTAAACCAGACCGTGTAATCACAGTGAAGATTGCGTTGTGGTCGTGAACTCAAGAATCACGGACATCTTATCGCGTCTTAGGGGAGTCGGTGTCAACAACTACAGATTCTTCGGCGTCGACACATACTCAATCATGACCCTATCCATCGCTATATATACATGGCTCACAGCAGCTGCTGATGCGATGCTTCCTGGCTCACTTTAGTTTATCGGGATCAGCTCCGCAAGTTCGCAAATCACTAATTCTTAAGACAGTACACTGCTCCTTCGAAGCATTTACCAGGTGATAAATGGCGCTGTGAACTAAAAATCATATTGACGATGAATAGCTTCAGGCTTCGGTTGCACTTGGGTAAGAAATTGTGGGGGGTGACTAGCTAGACTGACCCGGATGATTGCTACCAGTTTTGTATTCTATATCGCTATTTATCTAGTCACTGGCAACTCTAACTAGGTATACTTGCTTGGACCTGCCTGAAGCTTCCATCAGAATTACCCATAGTGTCAAAGGGCTTCTGTGATGGGCGAAACACCCTCAGCCTAATAACTCTTTGATCTGGATTGATGGGTTCTTCTGTAGAGAAACTTCGGTCAAGTTCTACCAAGGCATTGAAAAACAATTATAAGCTTATAATGGATTAAAACTTTTTATGATGTCTAGAGCTTGATGTGGCTAAATGGAGCTCTTCAAGGAGAACTTGGTCTGCTATAAGTCGCAAATTTAGTCCATTCCAGGATCAATACTAGGGGCACTTTCTATCAGACAGCCCTTTCCCTAGGAACAGGCTAATGCCGTAAATGCCTTGGATCTAAGGGTTTAGAATTAATAACGCGCGGAAGGCAGATTGGATAACTGGTGTGGTACTCGCGTGCGTGACTACAGGGTACTATGCATTGATACTTGGTAGTCTACGAAAGTTTCGTGCTAGTTTAGGGCAATATACAGAGTCTCTTTGTCTGTATCTCTACTGTAGTAACACAGTGATTCACAAGTTCCTGCTTCACGTGAGTCTGGACTTTCTGGCTCACTTCCATCCGTTTCGTTCATAAACTAGGTTCCTACCCAGGTAGCTAAACACGTGAAGGAATCCATGCCATCAAATGTATAACAATATCCTTAAAAGATGCTTTCACAGGGGTATATTTTGCATGTACTTTGGGGTTTCATATGAAAGAAGCTATCTCTGTAGTCAGCCTCACACTATATCTACAGTTTTATGACCGTTCCCATCTGTCTGTCATCTGTCAGCATAGTCTATACACTGTATACACACCAAACTTATACGATATATCCTTTATAATGCAATACAACAGTTTCCAACCTTCATATTTGTAAAGTTTTTACGATCAAAAAAGTGATGAGTTAGCCAATTCGTAGTCTTTGGAAGTTTCCGAAACGACTATTTTCCGTTCGAGGTAGCGGGGTTGAAGGTGTAGGTAGTAATAAGTAGAGATATCTTAAGTAGAAAGACGTTATTTTAGTAGTATACCGTTCACTAAATATATCTTTAGATCACGCCTAATGGTGGCAGCCGTACAACTGCAGACATAGTGTGGGGTTAACTGCAGAGATAGCTTCGCTCTTCAGAATAGTACCTAAGGTATACTATCGGCGCGGGGAACCTTGTAGCCTGTCATGTATCACATATGCTTTCCCGCAGCAAACGCGGCACCAGGTTCAAACGCTCACTGAACACGCGTCTGCCTAATAGAACGCAGTTTTCTTTTGCCTTAGGAGTCCATTTAGCTTCTCCTTTAACCTTTTTCTCACCAACATAAGACTGTGCACAGCTTCTTCTTCTTCCTGCCAGGAAAGCAACCTCGATACCTTCATCACAGACATCTCGGAATAAACAGTCTAAACATAGTTCCCTTCGTCGCTAAGAACCCCAGCCGTCATTTAATTTCCTTGGTAAGTTTGTGTCATACTTTCTTCTCAAGTAGATGGCTATTATTATATTCTACAAGGCTATCTTCGGGAACTCCCGGAAGTTTTCCCACCTTCTCGCCGTCTGAGTCAATTACTAAAGTTGTAATTGTGCACAGAACCAGCAGACAATATGCCGCCACCTCCTGTGTACACATGCAAGCTCAAGAAGGACAATATCGTAGTGCAGCAAACATCGCCACACTACCGTTCGCAACGCTTGAGGATTCAATTTAAGCGCACAATCCGTGTTCCGGACAATGCAGAAGTCGCACAACTCCCACCTGGCCTTGGCGACTTCCGCCTATTCAAGACTTGTGATTTCGCTTCCAAGTTACCCGCAGACATGACTACACAAGCCGGCGTATTTTTCACCATGTATCAGCGCGAGGCTATGTGGGTTAACTTTACAGCTAACCATCCTTTCTCCATCAAGATTTATGCCGGTGGTGTCAACGCCGTCTCAGGCGAACATAATCTGGAGAGTATGGAAACAAAAATTAGACGACTTGATCTCATTGCCGAGGGCAAGAGCATCCAGGACTATGTTGTTGTCCCTGAACAGATGTGGATTGATGGCTTCGCAGTCGCCCCTGGCGTGGTCAGACAGTTTGTTGCTATGCCTCTGGGTACTGGGTATAGCGTGGAAGCGCAGCTGACTGGACAAGAGGCTGTCGGTGGCCTGCAGTTTGAGATTACCCCGTCTTTGCCATCAGAGCGAACGATTCCGCCACCTCGCTTACAAAAATCACTGGGAACCCCTTATCATGGCCCTTGCAGAATTACAGTTAAGACTCTCACCGGCAAGACCATACCTGTTAGTTGTTCCTCATCGGATACAGTCGATACAATCAAACAGTACATAGAGGACGAAGAAGGAATTCCTACCGACCAGCAGCGGCTGATATTTGCGGACACGCAGCTCGAAGATCGTAAGTCTAACTCTTCGTCATATAGGACATCCTGTTGACTATCTAGAACGAATCTTATCCGATTACAATGTGCAAAAGGTGAATATGATGCTAACTCGAATTTTCACAACGGTTAAGAAACATGGACACTAATTCATTAACCCAGGACTCCGTGATACATTTGGTGCTGCGACTCCGAGGCGGCGGTTGGTACGGACCCATGGGCGTAGCTGCAGGTGGAAAGATCAAACAAGTAATTCAGAAAGACGAAATGGACCCTCAAATCTGGGTTCCAGCCTCAACCATTGCGATTTCAGTACATATCCTGACAACCACGATGTTCCGCGACATCACGGGACAGAAGCCTCCCGAGTGCCCCATCTCGGAGTCAGCCTACGCAGATGCTGGTCTTCCATTCTTCCACCTGCCGGAGGAGCCCAGCGGTATCTCCGGTGCTTTCGACGAGGTCAAGAGCGTCAATGAGATCAACGTGGATCGCGGTTTAGCGAGTGGTGAAGAGCCTGACGTGAAGCCACAAGTCGTCACGATCCGACCGGGTGAGGATACCACTGCAAAGAACAAAGTCGATATGGAGACAATTCGGGATCCTGATGGCCTCGTCAATCCTAATGGACCGCTCCGGGCTTTTCGTACTTTGAAAATCCTTGAGGATGAACTGAAAGCGACCGACGGAAAAGCCGAATGACGGTATTATGACAGAAATGCTTGTTGACCAGAACACTACAACGTCCATAGGGGGCGTGGTGCGAACTTCACCATGACGGTCTAGCAAGCTATGCTTTTTTGAATCCTTTTTTTATGATGTTCTATTTTGGATTCACCATGCCATGTCTCCAATCATAGTCGGCCGCGTGCCACTTTATCCGCCCGCTAACCTTTTCATTCCATTCATCTGCTCTCTTTGAAAGAGCTATTAGACGAGTAATATGGACATCATATTCAGGTCCTTCGGTCTTTTCAGCAACAACCTGTTGAGATCGTAGTCGGTTGCAATACAGAAAATTGGGAAGAAATCTGTGCCATATCTGTACTCGATTTCGATCATTCCACTCAGCAATCATATGATCAAAATCTTGTGCATCGGATATTTCGTAGGCATAGATGAACTCTTTCGAGACGTGGCCTAATTCTATGTCGAGGAGGTAATGGGGTACAGTCATGGCGCATGAAAAATCGACCAGAAGTCCATCTTTGTAGTTTGCTGAACGTATATCTTGATGAACAATTCCATGCTTATGAAGATTCTTTATATTGCGAAGCATCCTAGGGATCATTCTTGGCGTGAAGGCATGCTCTGACTCGATATACTCCTTGACAATTGCTCGAATCGGAACCCTTTTGGTAGACTCATCGCGTTTCAATGTTTCTGTTCTCGTCCATGCCAGCTGACGTGGATCATCCTCATCTTCGTCTGAAGATCTATCCACCTGGTAGCTAAGGAAAAGATAACCATAGCACTTCGCTGCTATATGTGTTAAATTTGCCTCACAAATGCGGCCATAGGCTCTACATTCGTTGTTGAATGGATCCATAGAGTCCAGGATTTGGCTATCTGTAATACCACGTTTGTAGAGCAAGGCCAACTCCATTTGATATGTAAAGTCCGAGACTTTGTAGTTGTTAAACTACTTTCAGGTCAGTCATGGTGGGTAAATGGAACTCAGGACGTAACGTACCATCTTGATTGCGTAGACAAGACCATTGATCTCAACCTTCCACACAACTGCATGACTTCCTTCTCCAAGCTTATCTAAAAATTTGATACTGAATCCCGATCCAAGCACATCGAATGGACCAATCCTAGGGCCTTCAAGCGCAGGGAGATTCATTGTACTGGATACGTTCTGCTTGTACAACGCCGTGATAGGAGCAATCGTGCTCACATACGGGTGAGGTCATAGAATGGAGCATATTGTATAGCTTTATATAACCAGATGCACTGTTTGTTCTTTGTCACTTATCTAAGTGAGGGGGTGGGGATGTGTCAGACACCTAACAAAGAGGTCACAATCTCTCCTATACCTAGTGCAACTTGGCCGAATGGGGTCTAGGATGCATAATTATTACACATAATTACAATCTCAATAGAAATTCGAAAGAAGGACTCCAGAGCTTTAATATCACGTATAGGATATTAGATGATATGTGGTGACTACCAATGAATATAGGGTTTTACCATGGCAGTCTATTGAGAAATCCCAAGTGAGACAATCTTGTTTGAAAGGACAAGTCTGGATGTGCAGTAGGGCCCACTCTAAACGTGCAGTACGCAGTTGTTGGCAGGGGTTTTCAGCTGGCTACGACATCTGCACACTGTATACATTAACGCACCAAAATCATGGGTTGTAAGGTATGAGGTTATCGTGAGTTGTTAACCAACGCCATTTTCAACTATATATTTCAAAAGTACAACGTTAATACGTAGGTTTAGGTTGTAAATATATATTAGGCTTAGTACGGTAGGCTAATAGTTAAAGCCTTAAAGGTATAGATAGTGCGGGGAAAACGGTACTAACGAATCGCTGCAGCCCGCTACAGTCTTTGGCGGCTAACTACAGCTGCGTACTGCACGTTTAGAGTGGGCCCTACTGCACATCCAGACCTGTCCGTTTGAAACTACCGTTTTTAATCTAGTCCTGTGTACCCCTTCTTTACTAGCCCACATCTTACAATTGTAATTATCATCATTTAATAGTACTGTCGGGATCAACACGAGCTACTTTCTTAGCTCTTGACTCTGTGTCACTAATCGCCTTTCTTTTATTTGAGCCACCACTCTTGACGCTGAGCAGGCACCTTCTTCGGAGCTCCTGCTGTGCCATGGCTCGCCTCTGCCCTCTTAAGATATTTTCCGCAGAGGAGCCGATTGTAACAACTACACGTTCCGGAACCTCTTCCAGGGAGTTTTCTTTGGTATCAATAATTGCTCCAGGGGGTAATTTCGAGTCGTATCGCCCCGAATATAGGTGCCGGTAGTACCCTTTCGAAGGGGCTTCCTGCCACGTGTTGATCTCAGGGAATAAGTGCGGTTTAGGGACAATATGGTGGTATTTATCATTCAGACTGAGTGCTGCACAAGCCCAGATTGCCAAGTTAACAGTCAATTGATCGCCGGAGTTGCTCCAGGGCACGGGCATGAAGTGGCATCCAACCTCCCATTCACTGATATCATAATAACGTACCGCGACTGCCTCTTCTGGTGTAATTATCACGCCAATTCGCGTATCGCAAACTTTGCAATAGGTGCCGAGCTGCCTGAGAGGCTGAAGACCAGCTTGTGACTTCTCATCGGTCATTAACATTGATGACCTCCATAATGAACTTGGTTTGATTTCGAGTGGCATATACATAGGGCCGCTTTGAATATCTGCACGCCCCATTACATATGCATCAGGCCTGACATATTTCCCTGGCCTATCCTGGTCCTCCTCTGGTATGTTCTCAGTTAGAGACGGGTCCTTTTCTATGTTGATTTGCTCAACTCTGAAGGATGGTTCAATCTGCGGCTGTCCTAAGTCCTTTTGTATCACAGCTGCCGCGAGCTTCAAGCCTTCGTCAATCCTCTTCTTACACCAATCGAGAACAATATTTTTCATTGATTCTTCCAGGCCTATGAGACACATACTTCTTGAGGGCCTGGAGCTTGGAGGGCGATTGACGACTGTATCAAGAACATGGCGATATGCCGAGGTAATATTGGCAGAATTGAATTCTTTCCAGAGTTCCGCGTTCCTGCCCTTAATTTTAACGTAAGACTTGACTGTCTTGCTACTACCCCCCTGTCTCCCTTCATAATAGGTCTCGAGATCAGGGTTAGCTTCTTGCACCCTGCTTAAAAACGTGTCCTCTATTCTCCTTCGAAGACCTTGTTTCCTGGACATTTTATTGTAATCAGTGTGCTTGGAGATCAACCGGCTAGTAAAGTAACAGTTATTTTTGTATCTTGAGTATTGGATGTATTCATACGTGAAGGTAGCGCAACCTGGCGCTTGGGACGTGCGATAGATATATAGTGTAGTACCAGCATCATGCAATCCCCTTTGTAGTCAGATATTAAGCTATTTTACACTGGTTTCTTTGTCGTATTGTAATATAGTGTTTACACGTTGGAAGATTTGGCATAGGAACATCCAAAACCGGAATTTTATGATCTACCTGGCTTCACCTTTGAAGCTGTAGCGTGGAGACAAAAAGGCGTAAGTGAAAACGGTCAAGCTTCGCTTTTACAGAAACTATTTGCAACGGATGCCAACCCAAGTCGTCACTCACCAGGTTCTGTTTCCTTTATTTTCAAAATAAAAGAATCTAAATTAATGAGCAAGGAAAAATTGTCGCTAACGAAAGGCAAAGAAGATATGACTTTCTACACAACTGTTTTCAGCCGCTACCTTGAACAGTCATCGAGAGCTTTCTCAAACAGTATGGTTGACAAAGGCAAGGCGCTTACAACATACGGGGCGTACTACCTTTTAATCTAATTAGTGTGGATGTGAAATATGAAATCCAAAAGGCCCATGAATATTTCCTAATGATTTTCAGTGCTATTATTGATTCACTGGCATGCGGCTAAACCTGTATTTTGCCTTCAGGTAAAATAGGCTGCCTTCATCAACTCAGGAAACTGTTGTTGTTGACTTTCTTAATTTATAGGTATTACAAGATATCCTTCTCAACGCAGGCAGGAAACAGTCGCAGACTTGCTCCAGTGCACTTCTAGAAAGCAGATCTTATAAAGTACAACTTACCAAATCGGTACAAAGTATATTTAGATCTTCTGCATTCTCACCAGCTAACAGAATTTTAAGATTGCTTTGCAAGGAAACAATTATACAGCGTCTCCAACCCAAGCAACCAGACTGATTATTGCCATTAGCCACTAAACCCCCTGAGCTCCATGCTAACATCTCAAAGCTTCTTCTGTGTGCGAAGATCAAAGGCTTGAGGAGCGTAGCCACCATGATAGTAGAGGGCATCGTCGGGTGTAAGCCACCCGTCAGCACATTCATCAAGATACAAACCTCCCCTAACTTCCCACTCTTTGCCTACAGCAGCCCATACAGTGGATGCGGTACCTTAAGGGGTATTTTTCATCATTCCTATCAACAATGGGTCCGCCTTAATGTCGTTGACAGTGGGAAGATGCCTGGCAAGGGGTGTCAAGATACCACTAGGGTCAAGACTTGATGCCCGTAAATTTTGGCATTGGTATCGGGGGTCCAGCTCGTTTGCGAAGAGAATATCAGCAAGCTTCGATTGTATTAAGAGTAGTACATGTAATCCCGTTAGATTAATTAGAAGGTTAAGTTACAGTACGTCATACGGCAGGATAACGGGTCCTTTATACATTTCAGCATGTGGTTCGTTAAATATCACCGCCTTCCACCTCTGACAGATTGATCATGGGCCCCCAGCGGCGTGTACTCGGTTTTGTCGAAATCAAGACTATCAAAGCTGATCTCGGCCCGATGGTGGGCGGCGGCGACAACTACAAAGATGCGGGAATTGAATGAAGGGCTGGCCGAGGCCAGGAGAGCGTCTTTTAAGAGATTAAATAGTAGAGAATGACCTGGGCATCAGTGGTTACTATAACCATAATCCGCCATACTGAGATCAATGCCTACTGGGATGATTGGTACCAAACTATGATTTGAAGCCGTCTTCGATTTTGCCCTTGGGGCAAGCCATGACTCCTGGTGTGAGTTTAGATTCATGAGTCAAGGGGTAAAATATAGTCTGCGAAGAAGAAGGTGGGGAAGAGTGTTGCGAACATACCAGCATTGAGAATCAAACTGTTAAGCTAATTCCCGCTTTTATGCAAGAATTCTTTAGCCCCAGCTCGGATACTTTTGAATGATCCTAAATCTATTGAAATCACCTCAACTTTACCAGGCTTTCCGTCTGCTAAAAGCTCATTGGTTATCTTTTGACCTTTAGAGCGTTCACGAGACGTAATGTAAACATCAGCTCCTATGAGGCGCATCGCTTTCGCCGTTTCGGGCCCAAGTTCACCAGCAGAGCAACCAGTGGTGAGGACAACTCTATCAGCCCATGATGGATGGGCGACAAGTCCCTGGTGCTCGATAATCTGTGTAGCTGTACGCCGGGCATCGCCAGGACCTTTGACGTTCATATGCTCACGCTGTTCTGCGTAGGGGGCGATACGGGTCATCGCAAAGGCTCTCAACAAGACGATTATGAATTCAAACTGCGGCTAGAAGTGGGTGAGCCTTGCGAATTATTAAGATTGAGGCGTGCCTAGAATATTTTGAGTCTAGTTGCGAAAACCATCAAGATAGACCAAGAGGTTATCAGCCCTACCCCTAACTGCCGCAGATTCGGAGGTTGAGACCGTGGTATAATTGTATTAACGAAATCTGTGTGCAATGAAGAAGAACGTTTCTGGCCGCTACACACATAGTATCGGAAAGTGGACTCGCCACAAAGCAGCACAGGTAAGTTGACTACAGAAATACGCTATGACTATACAAATTGCAATTGTGTTCAGGCCCGACTCATGCCAATAAACACTCCTGATACCGTTAAAAAAAAGAGAAGAAAAGCTAGTGTTAACTATTGTGAACCTTAAGTTTAATGAAAGAAGAATACTCGATGCTTACCTAAGTTCGGGTTATGTATGTCATCTGATACCTTGCAATAATATCAGCAGCAACAACGACAGCATAGTCTACGTTGTCAATTGAAAACCCATATATATGCCAGATCACCTGACTTGAGCTGGACTTCAAAGATGCCATTACTCATACTCCACTTGCATCGATACTACACACACAGGCCACGGGAGTAATAGCCATGTCAGTTCGTATGGTATTGTGGTGAGGTTCAGGTGAAATAGCAAGGAATGCTACTTATCAGGATAACCTGCGCTACGATAAGACTGAGAGTGCCAAGCCAGATCTTGAGACAAGCTTGATTGGAGACCCTAAGTAAGAAAGCTAGGCATCCAACGCCCCGGCACGATATAGCGCCGACTCAGCCCCTGCGCTTACCGCATACCATCTAGTTTAAGAGCTGCTTGGAATGCCTAACCTGGGGTGTTCAGGGGTTAGAGATGAGTCAAGTCCTCTGCTTCTGCCTTGCGTCTGCCTTGGACCCCGCATCAGAAAAGCGCCATCGTTGATAGGCAGACCAGACCGGTGCAAACTAGGGACTCAAGTTGACGATGAATTCGCTGACCGCTGATTGCAGCCTAGCAGTCTGCCCTTATGGGAAGACACGTAGCGCCTCATTCGGTGGCCGAGACTAAGCTAACGGATTCAATGAGATGGAAGAAGATATACAAATAGCATCGTCATCTTGTCTGTTAACGATAGCTTTGGCTTTCAGTTTTCCCATTCTCATCTATTATACCCCCCCATTCACCCAATAGTCCGCTCAGAGACCCTTTAGGTATTGTAGGTTTAGCCTTTACGACGTCATCAATTCTTCCGCCGGCTGCCACATTATCTTCACCCATCTTTGATCATGTCTAAGCCAACACTGGAACGCGCCGACTCCATCGACAGTTTCGAGGAAGTCAACACCAAGATCATTAAGGCCTCTGACCCAGAGACCAATGGCATCCTCAGGGTCGACGGCAAAGTTCCGCCTGTCCTTCATGTCCTGAAGTATCTGAGCTTCAGTGACACTGTTGTCGAGTGCCGTCAGAGTCTCACACCCTTCAAGCACTTCCCTCAGTTCAAAGATAAGGACTCAATTGATGATGTTCAAATTGGCGAATACGGCGAGAGCGATGACGATAAACCGGTCCTCGATATTACTTACAAGATTAGCAAGCCCAGCACTGACTATAGACGGCGAGACCACGGCAACCCCAATGAGAGGCCAATCACAGCTGCTTTCGACCTGAATGATTACCGGTATGACGACGGCGACGATGAAGATGAATTCCAGGCTGCCGCTACATCGGCCCCCAAGCCTGTCATTACTATGAACATACACTCCAAGTACCTCATTTCTGCTCTTCAGGCCGTCATCAGCTACTATCCGCGCGTGAATCTCCAGGACGCCCCTGTCAGCATCCCGGCCCCATATCGTTTGCTTTACCTCCATCGGGCTGAGCTAGCCCACTTTCGCGACAACCAGCCCAAGTCGCATAGCCCAGAGTATTCTGAAATTACTGCACGTCACATCGATGTCTTGCTCAACTTTCTTGCGGAGAACATGGGCGATGCCCTGGTTAAGGAAGAAACCTTACACAAGCTGGACCACCCTTCCGCGACCTTCGATCTTTTCTGGCTCCTGTTGAAGCCAGGACAGATCATCTACGCCAAGCGTTATGGCCTTTGGACACCGTATGTTATCAGCGCTGTCAGAGCCGGCTCAAGCAACAACTTCAAATCATACAAGGTCGACTGTTGGTACCTAGAGAGCAACGGTGTCGTCGTTAAACGATATGCGGAAACCTTCCGGGTACAGCCCTGGACTGGAGAGCAACCAATCAGCAGCCTGCCTGTGATCCCAGAGGCGTTCTGGGTTGAAAACATGGCTGCTCAAGGGGGTAAGACCATGAAGGAAAAGTGCATCGAAGAGGGCCGACTCTACTGGGAGTTGCTCAAGAAACCAACCTACATGGAATACGAAGGGCAGCTTGTGAACCCCTCGTCTGGAAATGGCCAATGCGTTGGGGTCACAGGACATTTCAGTGGACGCGTCATCTGCGATCCCGTCGGCTTCGACCGTTTCTACACCGCGTCGCCAGATATGAACGGTAGCAATCGACCTAGTCTCAATACATCGCGAACGGGCTCACCTGCCCCGCCGCCTTTGGATCATCTCCCGCGCAGTCTACCTCGATGTGGCTGCGATGCATGCGAAAAGAGCCGCGACCCTACACAAGGTAATGATGGTCCCTACGCTGAGTTCAGAGAGCTAGATGCCACCAGCGACACCCCTCCAAGCAGTGAAGTGTTTTACCATGTCCTAAGCAAGGTTATGCCTGCTTTCGTCCCAAACAACCGCCGTTGGGCATGTGTAAATCTCGCCTACCTAAAGCCAATCAAGCCCAACAGAGATGCGTTCAAGGAGCTGGTGCTTGACGACGAGATCAAGATGACAGTCAAGGCCTTGATTGGCAGGTTTGCCACCGACGTCGAGGGTCGCCTTCTCCCCTGGAATACGGGCGTCGTGCAGAATAAGGGCGAGGGCCGTATCTTCCTGCTGCACGGTACTCCCGGTGTTGGTAAGACATCCACAGCCGAGTGCATTGCCGAAGCCACGAACCGACCTCTTATTGCCATCACGAGCGGCGACCTCGGCGTCGATACGTACCGCGTCGAGGGGTCATTGCAGTACTTCTTAGAACTTGGACAGCGCTACGGCGCACTACTACTCCTCGACGAGGCCGACGTGTACCTCGAGCGTCGCCGATCCAAAGACATCACTCGCAACGGACTTGTGAGCACCTTCTTGCGCGCGCTCGAATACTACCGCGGTGTATTATTCCTCACAACCAATCGTGTACAAGCCTTTGACAGCGCCTTCTTGAGTCGCATCCATGTGGCGCTGCACTACAAGAACCTACGCGACGAGGATCGCGAGCGCATTTGGTTGAACACATTCGAACGTCTGCATCGCGAGTCGAACGGTACCGTCCGCATATCGACGGCAGCTCGGAACGAGCTGCTGGGAAGCACGGACGGTAATGATATGAGCAATCGGATCCGCGCGCTCAAGTGGAATGGTCGTGAGATACGCAATGCCATGCAGATGATGCTGGCGATGGCGGAGTCGGAGGCGCGCGAGGAGGGCATCAAGGTGGTGACTGTGAGCCAGAAGCATGTTTCGGCTGTGGTCAACTTGAGCGGCGATTTCCGAGCCTATCTCAAGAAGACGACGCCGGTTGAAGGAATCCTGGATGTAGAGGTCGAAGGTGATGACTCCGACTAAGAGGGTAATAACCAGTTCGTATGAGGCGGTTATCCTCATTTATGTAATTTGGTTATCCTCGTTTATGTAAATTCAGCAAGCGAATAATATCCAAAGACTTGGCAAGTACACGCCACAATGATCTTCTCGACGTGAAGGTAACATTGATGTTGCATGTTTGGTGATGTTACCTGTCACTGCATTAGAACAGGACCCCCTTGGCCTTATAGATACCAGTAATATCCCAATCTTGGGGCCTCGTTCGATCCATCCAAAGCATGTAATCCTCTTCCCCCCATTGTACTTGTATCTTAGCATATCCCCAATAATCCGGATACCAACCAGCAGATTCCCAGTCTATCAACCCGATTATCTTGGCGGATCTGTCTACCAGATCAGCATGCGTAAACGTAGACTTATCCGAGCGTAGAAGATAACTCCTTAAATCTTCACCGTGCGAAGTGCAAATAGCGTTCGTGTATGCGCCCCCTGGCCGAATCATCGCTTACAAGGGGCCTCGGCGGTGATTTCAGGTCGTCGAGCAAAACATCGTGACAACCCGAATGTAGCATCACCTGAAGGAAATATGAGGTACACCGAGTATAGGCACGATTTTGCCGAGTTGGAGAGTATGAAGTCGCCTGCGACTATCTCATGGATACGATGTATATGGTGTAGGCATGAAATATAATAGGACTAGAAGGTTGTTTCTTGTATTGTTTCTTGTTTTGTTTCTTGCAACTTGATCAAGCGGTCAGAGAGGGCAGAACTCAGTGTGCCTGCTACGTTAATTACTCCCTACCTGTAACCTCACAGTACAACTCCGCGAGGCGGTGAAAGAAAAAAGGGAGGAACTCTGCACTGAACACAGAGGTGTTGAGTCTCTCACTTTTTTCTTGCACCGCCTCACCCCATCAGCCCGATCAACTTCTGGGATACCTTGGATAGACCCTTTACCCTTCAATCTCATGCTCTACATAATTACATCATCTACACTCCTCCAAGCATTTGCCTACCCTAGCGTTTTTAAAATCCTAACTCCTTTACAACAGTGATGAAACCGTCAGAGCAATACCTCCGGGTGTTAGATGTCCTGCGCCTCCTTAAGAAAGAGCCCAGACACTTCCACACAGCCTATCATGTCCCAATGAAGAGTCGAGCGCCCATGTTCGGCCTCACTACCATCGGCAACAACTTTTGGCTTATCGGAGACCATATCACACTCGCCCGCCGCTACGGCGAACCCTGGCCTAGTGATACGCTTGGTCTTATCAACACTTGGACTGCGTCTGATGGACATCACTATGCCATTTTAGACGTGCCTGTAATGCCGCCACGTTCTCGTCCATGGACACCAGATGATGCACCTACTCTTGTTCATCTCGCCGCAGGTGGTGGCACTACTATCGATGCCGAGGATAATGATAACGAGATAGCCGAGATTACAACTAAGTGCGTTTATTCTATCGGAGATGTGTATATTAAGATGCATCATACCATTCACTGCGATTCTGTCGATGAGCACGTAACTATCAAGGAGCTGTCAAAACTTCTTCCAACCCGAAAATTCACGCTTCCCACAGTCCTCTACCACGCCCGCTACGACAATCGCTATTTCCTTATTACATCTAAGGTACCTGGTGAAACGGCTGCGCAGCTCTGGTGGGATTTCGACGACGCCATGAAAGACCGCTACGCAGATCTCATAGCAGAGGCCTGTGTTGAGGTTGCTATATTGACCTCCAGCAAGCTGGGCACCGGCATCGACGGGACTGGGCTGAGAAACGGGCGCTTGGCGGAGGCCCTAACTAGGAAGAATATGCCTAACATACTTGCAAATTGCAAGACGGTCAACATCGACCCGCAGCGCCCTTTCTGCTTTTTCCATGGAGACATGGGGCCCACAAACGTTCTCATAGACCGCCAGAAAGGAACGATTAGCATTATTGATTGGCAGGCTGCTGAATATGTTCCCAGAGAGTGGATCGGTATTAACTTTTCCAGTGCACTGGCTATGGTGCAGGATCTGCCTATTCCGGAGAATTACTCGTCAACCGATTACGCTACGCGTGTATGGAGGGCGCTGCAAGATCGTGGGTTTGGAAATGATGGGAGTATTTGGCTGCGCTGGAAAAGGATTGACTGGCAAGTGATGTCCGACCTTTGATCCATTAAGATGATCAAACATGCAAGGGCTAGCCTACCACACTACAACGCTGCAATCCAATATTTAATTTAATCTCTTAATAATTAATAGTTATACAACATTTAATAACATATTAATCATGTTTTATATTTTATCTATATGATTAGCCTGCTATATAGAGATTTTACAAGAGCCTTTATCTTTTTGATATAGGTTTACTCTAAGATCCCTGTTTGTCCGATATCCTGGCTGAAGATATAACCCCTTATATTTGACAATAGTTCTAGTATACGATGTTACATCGCGGAAATCCTTCGACGGAATTGAACATTTGTGCCAACGGATTTTTAAGATAAAGGGATGGAAAACTTCGAAACATGGGGTCCCAATCCAAGCACTTCTTCCTACTGTAATTGTGGGCAATAAGAGCGACAAGGTTCCCGACAGGATTGTGTCTCCGAAAGAGGGAGTTGAGCTGGCTAACTCCCTTAACTGCATGTTTGTTGATGCGTCGGCAACTGACTACGAAGATGTCTTGGGCCTTTTCGAGAAAGCAATTGAGGCATGGACCAAGTCGGAATGCCCCAGGGACTATACCGGGACATCATTGCCAGGTGGAGGTAGTACAGAGGGCTGCTGCGTAATCATGTAATTATAGGGCTTGGAGAGCCTGGCTTCTAGGTCGCTGTTCAACCTTCATATCTTGCGCAATTATTATTGTATTTACTTTTTCAGCATTCCTGATTCCCACCTTTCTTTCCCTCTTTATGGATCGGGGGGCTGGCCTTCCTGGGTTGGCTCCCTAAGTGTTTGAACGCTTTGACCGAAAGCATGAAGACAGTTAAGTGTTTCTTTGCATAAAATGACCCCGGCCGCGCAGCTGGGTTTGCTTTTCGAAGTGCCACCGATAAAAGCGGTATCATTCGATGTTTCAGCAACCTAACTAGGTCATATCTCATCGAGGTGGAAGAAGACTTCAAGGATACTACACCTCTCATAGATTCCTGTTCTTCTCATTTCCCTCTCTTGCCCTACAACCTACTCCATCTTTAAGATCTTGAACTGTGAGCACCACGTCTACGTCGTTAGATCTGTCAGCGCTACTTATATACCTGCTAATCTGACAGTGCTTTTGTCCTCATTATAGATCGCATTATTGCTTGCTGCGACTGCTGATCCCATGGTTTAGCATGGTGTCTCCATGAAGATTTCGTTGTAGATGCACATCACTTGAAAACTGGACTCAGCTGTCGCATTTTTGACGAGCCCTGTGAAGATTACAACAATTTCGTCGCAATCCTTCAGCAGCCAGGCTTCACCCGACTTCAGCTCGATCTCTTGATAACCGGTCAGGAGGACGAAGAATGGCATTCGTTCCGTAGCGGCCTCCTACACCAAGCCTTACGCGAAGCAGTAAATCTAGAAGATTTTAGGTTTGGGACCGCGTCTGGAGGAGACACCTATTCTCAAATAGAGATGGAGAATCACATTCCTTTACGCAGTATCTTTCCAACGGACAAGTGGCCTCGGCCCAGGCATTTCGGGCTTACGAGGTTCATGGTTACGCAGACTGACGTAATTTCACTGCTCGCCGCACTACCGCTAAGCATTCGGTCGGTTGAACTGAGCTTCCTCGTTTTCATGTGGGATGGGAGCACTTACAAGACCTTGCTCGAAGAGATGCGCGATGTGCTGGGATGGCGGGACAGACCAGATGATGCGCGCCCGATACTCTCCATTGGTGTAGACCCAAATGGTCATGAACCTCCTGCACGGGGTATTTGGATTGACAAAGAAGTCAACAGCTTCCTTTACAATGACGGCGAAAACCCGTTTGGGTGGAATGGTAGGAATCCGAACAGGGTGCCTGACGGCAAGGGCATTGTCCGAGATGCCTTTGATCCAGATTTTGAGCGGCCACATCTATGTTTCCAGCAGTATAAAGAGCTAGGATATTACCTCGTTCCCCCCCAGTGCCTCTGAGTCTCGGGAAAACTAAGGTATGGGAGGAGATGGATTGGTATGCGCCACCTTTACTAGCCTTACCTCTGCTGCACAGGTCGATAATTCTGCATCAGGGCTGGATAGCGTAACACGACAGTCCTAGCACAAGGTGCTGTTTCGGGTGAATGGGTCATTGAGTGGATGTACTCCGCAGGAAGTCGAAAGAATGACACTCGTAGCGCCGTGTAGGTACTAACTAGTCCAGATATCTCGGTTTAAAACGTACTTCGGGGTGTGTTTACCCCATTCTAAGCATTAGGTCATGCCTGCTAACGTAGAATCATCCCTTGTACGTAGCACGTATACCACATTCACTTATAACCAAAAATTAATAAATAGAGCAGTGTTAGTCCATAGCCAAGGCGTGCCTGTTGCCACGTAGAGCTTTGGCGGTGCTCTTGCCGATCCATGACACCAACTGCCCAGGTGGGCAGTGCTTATGAACATGCTGTTGGTTTTAAAACGTCTGGTATTTACATTTCGACCTCAGGTAAGGCATTCTCGCATCTTTGTCTCAGCTCAAAGTTTCCAAATTCAGGTAGATAATACAATATAGGAGGAAGATATTACCCATATAGGTACCTATGAAAGCCCAATCCTAAAGCCGCGTAGTGGCTGTGGTGGCTCAATTAAGAACCGCTCAGGTGTTGGGGTTGCAAATGGATACAAGGGTATAAAAGAATAATTGGGCTCTAGAGAGGCCTTGGGACTGGTCGATCTCTTCAATAAAGCAATGTTGGCTACGGCATACATAACATAACTACATAGCTGGAAGTTAGCCTGGACTGGCTTAGCTAACAGGTCATGCTACCCCTCTTTGTTCTTTCACTTGACATTCTACCCGTTCATTTTTTAATTTGTTGACTGTAAAAGATGGGCTACCTCTGTTGAGGGAGGTGTGTTCGCTCTATATTAGGATTGGCTGTATCCATACCCATTACATGCACTCTTCTTCAAGGTATTTACACCTCTAGCACTAGTATGTTCAAGGTCTCTTCGATCAAACATTCTCTTTCAGATGAGATAAAATCTCTATTTGTCCAACAATATTTATTTCTGCTAACAGAGATGGATGACCTAGATGTCCATGATTGTTCCAGCATGGCTACCTCAAGATTCGAGACGGAGGTTTATACAGCCGAGGGGTATGTGGAAAGTGCAGGGACTATACTATTCCGGCTCTCGACCTGTGAAATCTGCGTCCTCCATTTGCTGAGTCGTGATGAGTACATCCTTGCAAAAGGTCGTCGTAATGTCGGCGAATCACGTGCGGCTACTGCACTTCGTGAAACTACTGAGGAGACGGGTGTGCCCTGTTATCTCCTGCCCATAAACCTTCATTCCCGTGCATGCCCCCCGGGCGGTGAGGTGGACCTACCAGATAAAGTGAGGCTTTTCGACAATGCTTGCGAACCAATCGGAATGCATCTTCGGCGTCTTGGGGAGAATAACATCAAAATAATTTGGTGGTATGTGGCTGCGGTTAGTGAAGGAGAGCCTGTGGGTCAACACGAAGACAGGTATCAACTAGAGTTCTATAAGTATGAGGAAGCACTGGAAAAGCTCACTTATGGGAATGATCGAGCACTTGTACGAAAAGCGGTTGAGTTGGTTGAATCTACAATCCGTACCACATGAACTATCTAATTACATCACATTGCCCGTTCAACTCACGCTTTATTCTTGTCCCCGCAACCTAGTCCCCTTGGATGCTATGTCATTTGCGAGCAATAATGACTTCTCCGCACTCTCGAAACTGCCGTTATTATCCAGCACGAAATCTGCTTCAGCTGCAATTATTCCCACCCCCCTTTCTTTTTTAGTTTGATCTTGCCGTTCCAACTCCTCTAAGGATATGAGCGACCTGCTCCTTCGCTTTGTCAGAAAGGGAAGGCGGTGATACTTGCGTTCCACATACTGGAATGCTGGGAATATGTATATAAGACCTTCATCCAGCCAGATAACTGTATTGTAACTTAGACTTCTAGATAATCTAATGGGATCATATGTACTACTCTTGACACGCTTCGCATTGTCTACGGCGATGTGTATTACCTGGAATCCATCTCCGAGCCACAACTTCAGGAACCTTGTAACTTCATGGCCATGGAGGCTTTCAATGGTGATGTACCGAAGCCAATAGTGGGCTGTCGCGAATCGCTCGAGTTCATGGAGGAAATGCGGAGCTTGCTCTTCGCTACTAAGCGAATATATATTCTTTCCAAGCCTTCGACTGATTGCTCCATTAAATAAACAATCTTTGATCTGAAGGCGTGTTGCGCGCCCATTCCGTTGCAAAATGCCTGAGCATGACTGCTTTTGCCTGACTCTGAAAACCCCGAGAATCCATTGATGGTTTGCACGGGATGCATCAAAGGACGAAAGAGTGTATTTCCCGTCTTTCCTAACAAGGCTTGGCGGAGCTTGTTTTGCAGTTCTCGAAAGCTATCTTGCTCTGAAACAAGAATCGTGCGCTGGTAGTCGCCGCCTGCTTGCTGGTTGTGTAGCTCAGTCTGCAAAAGTCGCTGGTAATGTCTGTATACTCTGACCTTTTGCCGGCCACATCTGAAACGGGGCTGAGCTATGAAGTCACCAACGGTACAATTATTGTTCAATTCAGTCCGGTGATCGATATAATGGCACAGGCTGTCATAAATATCAAGACACGGTATCTTATCGGTCCGCTATGCGACGAGGTAGAGAACATAGGTATCTCTTTGGAAACATTTGTTCCCCTATTGTCTAATGCTCTGCTTCTTTGCGCAACTCTAACGAGAAACTTTGTCAAAGATGAAAAGGCACTTATTCGTAATTTCACCGCTGGAATACTCTTAGCAGGTGCTATGGATTGGGTTCAACTAGGTGAGAGCTTCCAAAGACTGGGATTCGACGGTCGGTGTTGGCAGATGCTCAATAAAGGCGAGCGAAGTAAGGTTGTATCATCGTAGCTGGTGGTGATCATATCGTCTTCGGCAGTGTGGATGTTTGATTGGTTGCCTGGTGTGGTGGAACGCCCTAATTAGTTTTACTCGAATAATAACGTCAATATCCCGGTGATGTTGTCACCTACCAGAATTCACTTCAGTATAAGAACTAAATTCAAGTCATATTATCTTACTCTTTCTATTTGTGCTTATCAGACATGACCTACTTACGAGAAATCACTTCAGTACCCGAAAAAGAGAGAATCATTGATGTTGACCTAGTTGAAGCATTGCAAGGTTGAGTATTGAGTACATGTCAAGTTTCGATGCAACTCAACCACTTCAGTATACAAGCTCTATATATCTGCTTGATCAAAGTTCCGGATAAAATCATAATAAAAGCTGGCCATATTCGACAGTTCACTTAACTGGATGCGCTCATTGATAGTGTGAACCTTGCCAAAAGAAGCCAGACTCCCAGGACTCCATCTGTAGATATGGTCGGATAGACCTATATTGTAAGGCATATGTTAGCCTAGTCCGGTAAGCCTTAAATGATTGAGACTTACTGAGGTAGTGACGAGAGTTGGTGTTCGCTGCTATAGCACCTGGAGCGGCAATAATACGTAAGGCCTCTCGAGCAAAGGTATAGCGCACTATATAGGGGTTAGGCTAAGTTAGCTCTAACTCCGGGGATCTACCCTATAAATTATTAATATACGCCTTAAAGGTAAAGCAACGTTTATTTAATAATAATATATATAGTTAACTATATATTTTATATATATGTTTAGCCTGCTATGCAGAGATTTTACGAAGCCCTTTGTCTTTTTAATATAGGTCTACCCTAAGATCCCCGTTTGTCCGATATCCTGGCTTAAGATATAACCCCTTATATTCGACAATTACACTGATTTGGGAATTAGAGCAGCGTGCAGGGTGTTCAGCACATTCAGCGCATACAAAAGCCACCCACCCACGTCAAGAAGGGGCCTTCTGAATTCCTCACTCCCACCTCATCCTCCTTCTCCACAGAAGCCTACTATGATGAAGCTTGGGTAATATTGCCTGTTTTTATTAAGTACAAAATTTGAAGAAATGCCTCCTGCTCCGTCGCCTATGTATTTGTAAGGGATTCTGAGTCCATATATGTATCAGTACTTCTCTCTACCCCTGCATACATGTTTCAGCGCTACTCCAACTAGAGCAGGGGCTGTATCTCACCGGGGATGTGTAATAAAGTAATGTAGAGTACTGCCGGTCCCTTTTGTTCCCGTCGCTGTCAAACATACTCATCCATGATTATTAACTTATTGCCAAATTGGCGTCGACGTCATGGCAAGCGGTGCCAAAAGCCAAGACTTTGATTTCCAGTCTGAAGTCATTGATAGCCGAGTCAAAGATCTAGAAAGGGCGAACTCTCGAGTATTATAACAAGGGCAGGAATACTGGGCTTAGAATCTAGGCAATTCAGATTATAATGAACAACTAGGGCTGCATAAGTCCTTGACCAACCAACTCCTTCTCGGCTCTTGGTGGCTTGACTTGACTCTATATACAACTGGTCTGCCAGCCCAGACCGCCTAGGTTTCTGGGGTCTGTTTCAAGAAGCGAAGTCTGTATAACCTCACTTTCCAATATTGCCCAATATTGCCTGCATGTCTTGAAAGATCATGAACAGCCTGCAAAGGTCCTTCGTACGGTCGAAGTGCTTGGCGAACTGCATATTCAGCTAGTACAGAGGTTGCACGTGTAACAAGTATCATTCAAACCTTGTGCCTCGGACGAATTCGAAACGTTCATGGGCAACAAAGGACAAGCTTATTCAAAGGGAAGTGTGTCCCGTGCAATCTTGAGGATATCAGGCAGATTAGACCATGTTAAATCATTTACTGGTGTTCTATCGACCTTGTCGCAACTTGATAGAACTGTTCTAATGGTTTAAGGCTCTATTCAATTAATATTTAAGGTAATTATGGAACTACCATTCCTTTCTGTACAACAACTCTATTAGTCTGAAGAGAAGATATTGAATCGCTAGTATTTAAATTTCTCACCTGTGGTGTGCTCTGGTAGTTCCAGTCGAAGTCTGGTGTGCCAAGTACGGAGAGTCATGAAGCAGGTGTCCAAATACGAGGGTCTGTCGTGTGGTCGTTGCCTGTTTCAAGGACAGTAACTGTCACGCTAAGGTCTTCAGGAAGACGAGCAGCAAGTACCAAACCAGACAGGCCACCGCCAACAATGACAAAATTGCTTGTAGATTCTATGATGCTGGGTTTGTTGATAGGTAATTCTACTCTGCGTTGATGTGGAAGATATTTGTGAGCTATCCCGGGAGGAAGAGACAATAAATTAGGCGTTATAAGTCAGAGTGCGCTCTTCATAGGGGACGAACGAGAGAGAATATGTTCCTTAGACACATAGTGTCAGGTAACTTAAAACAGAGTGACGCAAAAGGCGGCAACGAAAACGAGAAAAAGGGTAGCTGGTTTTACGTTGGTACGTGAATGGGTGTTCTTAGAATTTACTGCACACAGATGACACCAACAAGTGTGAGGTTCGTTTCTGATAGGTAATAATTAATACAAGCGACCCAGTCAAGCTGATCAAGTGCATGCAAGACCAATACCATCAATAGCTTTCAATGTCTGAGTGGTTCAAGTTGTTATCTCTGCTTCATCCTAATACCCCCATGTTGGTAAAACGGGATGTTTACAATGAGTACCTAGCCCAACTAGCAAAATCCCATATTCTCCATGTGACCTTGGACTGATCGTGTTGCTACTTTTCAAGTCAGGCCAGAACATTTAACGTTAACTACTCAAAGGATGTTAATAATATCACACAGTACTTACTGAAACTTGGTACATGTATTCACTTCGTGATAATCTTATACGAAGATATCCATGTTCATAAGCTTACGAGAGAGAGAGACAATGCAGGCTTTTACATCCAGAGGATCTCACTCAAGCTGATAAAACAAGACAACGAGTTTAAAAACTGAGCGAAAAAGAGATCTATAATACTGGGAAGCAAAAACAGGGTCTGGCCGGGGATTGAACCCGGGACCTCTCGCAAACAATGCTGTAGGGTTAACCCTAAGCGAGAATCATACCACTAGACCACCAGACCCTACCGTTAATCCCCATGGGGGAAGATTGTGAAATGATGCTCCGATATTTTACAATAAGTACTTAGTCAAATAACTAATAGGTAGGATACAAGCCATTCAAAATAGAATGATCTTTTAAGGGTGAATACACATAGAACAAGAAGTTCCCTCTATTAACTCTTCGCTTGCTACCTCATACATAATCAGAGTGCCTTTATTCCATGGAGGTTAGGGGATCTGTGTCTTAATGCCTTTCCCAGTTAAATCAAACCAAGAGAAGGACTTTCCTCCTGTCATTCAACCACCATACTGGACAACATTAAGCAACGTTCAGGGCAAGCCTATTGAGTTGAGCACGATGGCCTAAATGAAGGTGACACATACCCTTGTATATCAAATGGACTGCTTCATAGAAAATAAGTCCTATGAACCTACATTTGTCGCTCTTCTTGCTGTGAGATTGTCTATCTCAACGCTACTTCACGATGTTGAGACTGAAGCGTCACTACAGAAGTTGATGATGCGGAAGCACTCGCGAACAATTAAAAAGAAGACCGGAGGATTATTCGATCGCTATTATGTATTCTTTAGTATTGTTAACTAAGCACAGTACAACAGATACATACTTAGTTGTGTAGATAGTAACTTATCTACTCCTGCTCCCCAAGGGTAACAACCAACTTCTCACACGACACGCCCCTCGCAAGGATATCAAACCCCTTCTGCACACTCTCCAGCCCATGTCCGACGACTCGCGCCTTCGGCGCACACTTATACTGCCCGCTCTCGAGCGCCGCAGGCAAGAACGCCCCAAAGACGACCTCCGCAAGCGGCGTATCCTTGACATTGTACGCATGGAACATATCCGCTTTCACACCCGCCGGCACCCCGTCCTTACTAAACAAGAGCGAGCACGCAACGACCTTGTTCCCCTTACTCTTGCTGACGACCTCAAAAACAACAGGATTGCTCTCTGCAACGCATGAAAGCGCACCTGCGCACTCGCGCTCGCTGAAGGCGGATACGAGCTTATTCGCGAGATCCGGGGCGCGGTAGTCGAAGACGAGAGCAGCGCCCAGAGAAAGGCAGTGCTCGAAATTAGCAGGAGACGAAGTCGTGATGACCTCGTAGCCCGATGCTACGGCGAATTGGATTGCGCTGCTGCCGATAACGCTTGCGCCGCCGCCCACGAGGACGGTCTTCCCGTTGCGCGGACGCGGTGGTACAGACGGATGATCGAGGCCAAGGCATGCGTACAGCGCCTCGGCGGCAGTAGCTACGCCGGATGGAAGCGTTGCGGCTTCGATGAGGGACGTCTCCTTGGGCAGCTTTGTAACTACAGAGGTGCTGGCGGCGACGTATGACTGGAAACCCCCTGAGCGCGAGGTGAATTCGCACAGGAACCCGAGCACGCGGTCACCCACATGGAATTTGGACGTTGCGGATGAACCCACTTCTACCACGGTGCCTGAGACATCGATACCAGCTGCCATAGGATACGTGAGGAACGGGAAGAGAGCAGTCCCCGCGGATTGGATTTTCGAGTCTACGGGGTTGATCGCTGCTGCAGCGACTTTGATGATTATTTCGTCTGGCCCCGGCGTTGGGTAAGGGGAATTGGCGATTTCTAGACTGGGCGCCTTGTCTGAGGAGTAGTAGGCCGCTGTGTTTGTTGGTGCCATAGTGAATGAATGGTTGCGAGATGGGCGAGTATGTTGTGGTGATATATGTAACCTATTGCAAGACTTGTGACGTAAAGTGCCTGAATTTCTATGCGATGGTCTACCTAAGCAGGTGTGTTGATTGGCGAAGATGGAAGATATCATCTATCTTTTATATATATCTATTCCCCGTTCACTCACGCATGATGGCCCCTTGAAGCTAGCCGTGACCTGATAACCTCTTCGCCTCAGCTGATGTTGAACGGGGCTGATTTGTAAGTCGCCATGAGGAGATGAAGGCCGCAAGCGCACATCGGTCATCTTGTCAACGAAGTACCTGCTCAGCATCCCGCATCCACTTGCGGTCTGCTTAGTAGGGTGGGAATCATGATGGATATCGGCAAGACGCTAAGCATCTCGTCGATGATATGAATGCCTAATACTCGTTCTTGGCAATTCAATCGATCAAGAATAGGATGCTAGATTCACGGAATAAACATATAAAACAGACTTCTTACTCCGATTCCGAAGGGTATCGGAGAATATGAGACGCATCGTAGCCTGGATGTAATAGCTGTAGTTTATATCGTGAGATCCTAGTCTGTTTTTAGAGCTGTCTAACTCCGGCATGCTTTATCTCCTTTCACGACTTAGACTAAATCCCAAAGGAACTTCCACGATCTACTCAAATGGGGCTACATAAGATTAATAATCACGGTGCGGCCGCAAACCCGCGCGATTCCGGATGGGGTTTGTCTAACTACGCGCCGTGTTGCTCTCTCGGTCTTCGGACTTTTGAAAGGTGAAAGTGGAGTTTGTGACGCCCGGGTCCGTGTGAATAAGCGCTGAGTTGATATGGTCTAGTCGATGACATGATCAGATCTAGTTAAGGATATTTTGGCACCTATGAGTATATTGAGGCTCAATTCTTACGTAGTATCATTGTTGGGGCGAGCCCGTATAACAAGAGAAACCAGCGCTTATACATCAGAGGGGAGAAAATAACGGTACGATCAGAACTCGAGCATCACCAGTACCTTATATTCCACCCTCGCGTCATGATAGCAATTAGTGGAAGCGTTTCGAAGCCTTCCGTATTATAGGTGGTGCATAATCCCCTTCTCCCTTCCGCTCCATTCACGATTCGTCTCGGTCCCTTCGACATACGCTCATGAATGCCGCAGAATTCTCCTCAGTGTTCTCAGTCTAGGTGAATTACTACGGAGCCCAGGTCGACCATGAAGATAACCACGTCGCCGAAACTATCAAACGATTGTGTAATATCTCACTAAGCTCTCGGAATTCGGACGGGACCAGACGTATCAGAATAAATGAAAAATGGTGAATCACTCGTTAAGAAAAGCGTAAAAAGACCACCTACTATAGCATAAGCGCAATAACAAGATCAACCAACTACAACAATCGTTCACTACTTTCAATAAGAACAAGGTCACGCATTATTTTACCGGATAACTGCTCCGCGAAAATAACATACTCTTCATTAGATATATATACTCTTCTATCCCACCATCTCGGTATATCTTAACCATCACACTCGCCCAGAGAAAGACAACGCAAACCCATCCCAACAGCTCCTCTACATCTAAAATCTATATCACGAAAACGATGTTAAACCGCATGGCTCTTGGGATCATATACCAAGTATACATCCCTCCCCCTCCCACTTAATAAGATCCCAATCCCATCCCAAAGATACCGAGCAAGCGCCCATAAACCAACATTCACACCAATCTGAATCCCAAACCCGAACCAACATCCTTCAAAACTATCGTCCTTATTACCTTATAAACAACATCCAAGTATAAATATCCAATAACGACCAAACGAAATATAAAAAAAAAATACAACTTAAAAAAAAAAACTCATGACTATCCTTAAAAGATAAAGCAAATAATAATCAGTCCACTCGCCCCGCGAAGTAAACACAACCGATCAACAAGATGCCGGTATCAAGCACCATTCGTCATTCAGGCATTACTACTTAGTCGCTTCAAATCTGACATGTGATTAACAAGTAGACAGACAGAGCTGCAAATCCAGCTTCCAAGCTTAAACGCATACACCTACCTCCTCAAGGGATTGAATTCATATACGACAAGCACTAAGCATTACGGGGCAGGACAACAGCACTGGTAATTCCTTCCAAGTCTTCATAGATACGAGTGAGAAATTTGTCATATTTGCGTGGTTGACCATATCCATCTATTTTAAAGGTATCAATCATTACAGATATCCACAAAACCGAACGACATCCCAGCCAGTAAAACCCCCCGAACCAGCTCCGATTACTGAGGTGCTCAGCAGCCAAGTTAAAGATTAGTATCCGGAATCACAGCCACCTGGGCCAACATCCATTTTCGTCGGTTTTTTTATTCCACCCCAGGCCTGAATGACATCGCTTATATCGTAAATGCGACAGAGAAAAATGACAAGTGCGAAAGAACATGTATCCAGATTGAGAAGTGATAAATGGGGTTGCAGATATTGCAAGTATTAGATGGGGGACGCAGAATGCCGATGGCGGTTATGGCATATGCGCGTCCGTGGAGTTAAAAATTGTTAAACCGAACAAAGTTAATCGCTGTACCAGACACAAGGACAATCAATTGTCAAATTAAAGGTATGGCGATTTTGAGGATCTGATGGAGGATGTCGATGAAATGGAACGAATAGGAATCAAGTCTTCAAAGTTTCAAGACTGACGCGGAGAGGGGAATACTGAAATCGTAGATCAAACGAACCATCAAATCAAGAGGTATATATGCCCGTAACGCCAGATAGATGAAGACCTAGGAGAGCAAGAAGAGAGGATCTAGCCAGGTATATACACCACTGGCGAGTTGAGCACCAGCCCATGACCACGAGATCATGCTGAAGATGCGACAGCTAATCAAGGATGCGGCATGTGTTCTGGTGACAGACTCGGCTGGTCAATGGGGTCGAAGTGCACCAACTGATTCATATCCAGATCAGCTTGACCAGGCTCAATGAATGCTGGAGAGTGAGGGTGCATAGGCAAGTTGATGGTATGTTTCGAGTACATCTCATTCAGGCTGTGCCCGTCGTCTGAAATAGCAGACTCTCCCATGGGATAGAGGTCGGCCGATGCGGGTCGCTGCATCATGGCGAGAGGAGGTGACTGTTCAACGATGGCTGGGTCTCCGTGTTGGCTGCCATATGAGAGTGGGGAGGCAGGAGGTGCAACTTGGGGCATCGGTGAAAGGAAGTTGGTGCTATATGGAGTATGCACGGGAAGTGGAGTGCCTTCAGGGGCCTGCGGGAAAAAGTTGGGACTCGAGTATTCCGAAGGGGCCGTAGTCGAAGCTGACAGAGGGTATTGTCGCATATCCAAACCATAGGCCGCCTGTGTATCTATCCGCAGATGCGACCCGGGATTAAGTGCCTGAGGCTGCTGGGGTATGGGAGCATAGATGTTAGGGTTATGTGGCTGAGGCTGGTTCTCGCCAGGGTGTTGGATGTAAAATGATGGCATGGGAGTCTGGAACATGGCGAAATCGACGGCCGAAGGAACTGAGCGACTGCGCTGTCGCTTATGACCGGGTCCACGCATACCGTGGGACATTGGGTTAATTCCCCATTGCGATTCCTGGAACATGCCGACGTGAGGCTGAGCGAAGTTTGGCTGCGAAGAAGGACGATTCGTTGGCGACACGGGAGCTGATACAGACAAGGCGTGGCTCATATCGAAGGGGTTTGTGTTGTGACGGTTAGCAAAAGATTCTAAAGAGACCAACTTGGCTAGTTGACCGCTTAGAACTTTGGGATTACCGCCTAGATGGTGAACATAGCAGTGAGTGGCCTGCTGGTCCTCGGTGAAATCGCCACATTGGAAAAATCCATTGGAGTTGGGAGACGAGTCCATCCAGAAGTTGGGTGGTCGGTTTAGTTCGATGACAATTCCACCGAGCTTCCCATCCCCCTCCGCATTCTCCAAAAATATGTTCTTGATAGCACTGAAGTGATATTCGATCTTATAGCCAGCCTGATCGTTGTTGATGTAGTAAGTCATTGTGCATTTCTCGGGTGAGTAGAAGATGATGAGATCCATCGTATTCTGCCCGACACGCATCCACTTTCCAATGCTCAAAGATCGGCAGGTCAGATGGTGAATCACTGATTTGCTGTTAGCAAACACAAGGCATGGAACAGTGAACTACGGGCGGTGACAACTTACAGACTTTGCCTTGTCCACCCTGATCGCCGCCCAGCATCATAGAACCGTACGGCATCAAGCCAGTACGTCCCATGTAGGGTCCACCAAGACCCTTGCCAGACTCCATTGCCTGCATGGCGAGGTAAGCACGCATAGACTCCGGAATCGAGTCGATGTCTTCGCCGCTTTCCAAACTCTTCTTCGCAAGAAGCTTAATCTTGGCACGCCTAGAAAGAGAAGGGTCAGTGTGACAGCCATGGATTGTGGGGAAGCTGTTTACGCACCGGTTCTGGAACCAAATCTGGACAGACCTTTCGGTCATGTTGATTTCTTCGGCTATCCGTTCGCGCACAGTCGCAGTGGGTGTCGGGTTCTTGTTAAACTCGAGCTCCAGAGTGGTGAGTTGATCCTGGGTAGCCCGCTGTCGCTTCTGGTTCTTCTGCTGCTGAGTCAAAGTGCTCTTTCGAGGAGGGCGCTTTGAGAGATTGTTGGGGGTAGGGACAGACGCAGTCGATTTGGGCGAGGGCGACTGGCTCATCTTGGTGCCGGTGGATCCAGCAGGCGTGAGGCTGGATGGCTCAGGAGTCGAATGCGTCGCCATTGGGGTTTCGGACACGGCATGTTCCATGGGATGTTCCATCTTCATTGGCATTTCCATCGCCAACTCCATTTCGTAAGCAACTCTATATGCTTCGAGGCGGTGTTTGGCGGACAAGTGCTCGGTGATTGTGGTATGGTTCAACTGCGGCTGAGTTATGCAAGACGTGAGTGAGAACCCAGGGCGACGAAGATAGCGTCCAAATGTAATGTTGAAAGAAATATAAAAGATTGAAAGTGGTAAGTCTGAAGGAGTGTCGTTCTGTATCCTGAATCTAAACAGTCGAGATAGGCATATAATGCGTGGCTAAAGACGCGTCGGTCTCGGTTGATCAGATACAGAATTGATTCTTGCTGGTATTGTTGTTGCTGTTCTGGGTGCTAGTGGTGGTATTGTTTAGCTCGAGTGTCGTTCCAAGTCGAAGTCGCAGACGAAATCGAGGGTTGGTCAACAAGCGGTGGGCGCGTCTTCGCGACGGTGTATAATGAAGCCTAAGGAATGAAATGGACCCGAAAGGAGTGACGGTGTCCGTAATGGCTACAAAGGGTTGAAAAGGAACGTGGAGGGGGAAAATGAAAGGAAAGAAAAAAAAAAAATCGAATTGCCGAAAAAGGTCGACGATACTGGCGGTAGAAGAAAGATTGGCAAGATACGAAGAAACGGAGGAGAAGGGAGCAGAGGGAGGGGGGATGGCCGAAGAAAAAAACCCTGGGCCGGTGAGTTGGCGGGAAAGGGAGCCTGTGACTGGTCTGGACGGGCCAGTTCGGGCTGTCCCACACCAGCAGACACACAGAAGGGCACACCACTGCACCCAGGTACCAGCAAGCCCTGAGGGAGATACTTCCAGTAGGGAGGGCGGATGTGTGGACGACCAGGTACCCGATAAGTACATACCCACAGCGCTTGCTCCGGGGGGCCACAGTGGAGACCTGTACTATGGATGTACCTGCCTACCTACAATACTTAAGTAAGTAGGTGTCTAGGTAGGGTGCACTAAGCGCTAGCCTACAGTTGTACCTGCAGTAGCCTCTGCGGGCTGCGTTGTATGGTTGTACCTGGTGCAGCCTGATGGGGTGACGAAGGAGGTACCTAGGTACTACTATAGTGGTATGGGCTCTGTGGGTGGTTAGATGGTCTTGCTTTACACAGTACCTTACCTATGTACTTACCTAAAGTACTTATTACACACGCAAACAATCGTGACCTACTCAAGAGTACCCGCCCAGAGGATTTTTGGAAATGTTTACACCATGGATTTGTGTAAGTAGGTCGTCAGATAGCACAGCTGGTCGCATGTTTTGGACTTGGGGAGTCTGGGAAGACATCTGGATAGGGACAGGTTGTGGGCGGTCAAGTGTGCCCATGGTGGTGTTCTGGTCAGATTCTGGTGGTGTGAACAGGGCAGGACAGGGGCTAGGCACAGTGCATCAAGCCAGCTGTGTGAGAGCCCTGTACAGTCTACTAGCCAGTGGATGGATGGATGGATGGATGGATGGTGGGGGCTAAGTACATACAAGGTACCTAGGTAGTATGTGATGCACAGTTTGGGCACCTATCAGGTAGGTACATATAGGTAGTGTAGGCAGTGTAGACCCGACGAGGAACACAAGAGCGGCACAAAACGTAGCACAGAGAGCCCGCAGGACAAAGCCCCAAGCGGCCAGACAGCGGCCAGATCAAAGGCCAAAGGGTACATGGATGGCATAAAAGGGATTCCGTTGTTTCCGTCACCATCGTGTTTACCCTTCTTACAGTAGGGCGGGTGGTCTAGATTGGCGATGCAGTGGCCTGCCCTCGCCTGCTGCTTACCTACCTACACCCTACCTACACTAAGTACCTGCATGTAGATACAGTACATATACTTGTTGCTGTACACTGTATGTGTAGGTCTCGTACCTGCATTCTGCCTTTCTGCCTGCATAAGACACAAGAAGAGACTAACCAAGGGAGGTTAAGCGTGTTTGAGCATTTGCCAAGTGGAAACTTCAAGTTCAAAAGCAGTCGCTGCCTGTACTTACCTATGTACCTACCTATGTACCTGCTGCTGTACTCCGAGAGGACGCGACCAAGACACTACCCGCGTCAAACACCAAGACTCCAAGACTCCAAGAAACATTACACTACCTAGATGGACTCCTATTCGTCTACCTACACTTGCAAGCCTCTCTCTACGCGTACATACTGTGGCATTTGGCCGATTGTTCACATTGTCAGGTCTGTTTCAAACCTTAGAATGAAAAAAAGAGGTCATATGAGATGTTACTGTCGTTCTTTTCTTCGTTCCTTTCTTCGACCCATGCCGCTGCTGTGTTCCAACAAGCAAACTGGAAACATCCGGCGTGATTTGGTTTGGTTTGGTTTGGTTTGATTCTCGATCTACGCTCCACCAAGTACATGGTTGATGCTGATGCTCAAGAAATCCTTACGTACCTTACACTGTTATCTGTCCTACTCCCTCTCAGGATACTACTGTGCTGCAAGGCTCGGCCGATATATTCAACGGAATAACGAATGCCTGCAGAGTAGAGTACGGAGCGGGCTAGCTATCCGGCCAGATCCCGCATCATCAGCCACAGCTTACGCTACATACATTATTTATGTGCTAGGTACATATGTAGGTTACCTGTAGTGTACATCTCCCTCTTCCTACAACACTTGACCTTGATATTCCGTGCTGTTGGAATCCCGCGACATACCAAAACCAAACGTTCTGGCGCCTTTCCGACATCCGCTCCGGCCGATGCCAGATGAAGCAAGGTGATGTCTTGCATGGTGCTGGCTTGGGAAAAGGGTAGTGGCGAGCTAGTCCACTAAATGGCTTACCCAGGATTTTGGTCTCGTCTTGGCAGAGTTGAGAATCACGCCGTTCTCACGTCACTGCCAGTCTCCCTCGCTTCCTGTCTCGCCTGTCTCACAGTTTCACACATTCGCTCGCTAATGTTGTGAACGGGAGACATGCCAATACTTTGATGCCGACCGTACCTCTCAAAGTGGATGGCCGCGGCCGCCGGCACTTCGGCGATTGTCTAAACTGCATGCCGTCAAATTCCGCTACTGGGGACTAGGGATCCATTATCAATGTCAAATGTATCCTTCAACGCTGCGAAAACAAATGCAAGATCATGGGGAGCCGGTTCATTTATTGAGCAAACCAACAACTCGTGCCTGAACGAGGCATCTACACAATGTAGGTATCAATGACAATCCACCTTGTACTCAGAATCATCACCCAAACTCCCCGGAGCAAGTCCTACATATGCATAGGTAGTAGTACTTCAAGGCTAGGTATTTCACTGCCAATCAGATTCTACAGTAGGTAAGACAACGCAACGGAACGGGATCTTCCTTGGTGGTTACTGACACCAATTCTAGCCACACTTTGTCCTATCGGTGCGCGATAACCGACCAATCAGCATTGTCTCCGAGTCCTCGCAGAGGAAGGGGGTTTGGACGCCACAATACAAATACCTGCAATGAGTTTAGCGGCATATGCTGTCACTCCACACTCACAATGCTGCTTCTTTAGTAGGTGTCCAAAGCGCTCTTTTGGGGGATGGAGGCTTACTCAAGACATTCCAAGCCATATGAGATATGACTAACTGGCCAGCAGTGTTGCCGTACGAATTATATCTTTACCTAAGCGGTCGATTCACCTCAAGAGCGTGCCGGCGTCTTACATGGACAGACTCAACGTACTAGGCACCGGCAAATATTGTTCAGCAAGCTAGAGGCCCGTTGAGCATACGTCGCAAAATTTGCCCAATCGTTTGTATTCCTGTTTTCTGCCCTGCACACGCAGAAGAAAAAAGAAAAAGAAAAAAGTATAGCCCGTGGGTTGCCAAGCCGCTGCTGGGAGGCACATAACCCTCTGCACCTCTGCACCTCTGCTTCGTATAAACACGAGCGCGGAGAATCGGTGGCATCCGGGCCAAGCACCCCCCTGTCGAGCAGCCCAGACTTGATTTAGAGTCGTACCAGACGACTGATCTGCTCTCTCGACTATGGCTCCCCCACACATCATTCCATGAATACCCCGTGACTGGTGGCGCGCTACCACTTACTGACGATGCTATGCTACAGTACATACCGGCTGTAGAGTGGTAGTAGTCGAGTACATGTTGGCGATCTGTTAGCTTCCGTCTGCCCACGATGTCGTCACCTAGAGCACTAGGCGGGCAGGACGGCAATGTGTTCATATGTGATGATTTCCCCCACTACTACCTAGTGTCGCCGACGTCCTGGCTCCGTTCTTTCTACTACCGTCGTGTAAGTAGAGGCATGTACAAGCAGTCGGTCTTATGCCCCATGATGCAAGTCTGAGTCGGCGACAAAACTAAGTACTCCTCATGCGCTATTGTGTACACTGTAAATACTATGTACTAACTAGCACACCAGCGGACCACATTTGGGTGTCTACACTTCCAGAAACTCAGGTAGGTCTTGGCACTTGCGGAATGCCTCCGGTTTCTTCTTCGCGGCTGCTGGCTCAAAGACCACCTACATTACATGTAAGGACAAGCATCTATCTGACAAAAAACAGCCACCTTTCCAGACAAACGCGGCAAAGAGGAAGCTTGCCGCATCAAGCGCGGATCACATACACATCAATCGGGCGCAGTGTAAAATGGATACCAACCCATGCCAGTCGATGCGAGCAATGTACAGTGCATATCAAAATGATAATCAACACTGTATGTATATACAGTATCCTTCTTTCAGGCTTCGGCGTTTCTGAACTTCAACTTTCAGTCAAGTCGGTGACGATACTCTTGGTCTTAGTGCCTTACTGCTAGGTAGTAACCTATTGCCCCTGAGCCCTAGGCCTCCTATGTCAGCCCAAGCTTCTCTCCCCTACCCTAAAATCCAACAAGTGGAAAAAAAAAAAAAGGGTGTCACGAGTGCTGTCAGTCCACGGCCGTACCTTGCAGCTTGCAGACTGCCCCTGAGCCCTCCCCCTGGAATCCCACCCTCCACAAACGTTTGTCTAGCCGATTTGAGCGACT